AGCCTCTGGACTATGGTCAAAATGACCCCTATTAAGGCCATACAAGTACTTTATGATCAGAATTATTGTCTATATTATCTGTGGAGTAATATAGTGGGTAGATATCAATTACAAAGTCATTTTTTTTATATTATTTGGAATGATTTTACCCTATTTTCTTCTAACAGGTAATCCAGATGGCAGCCATTTTATTAAAATGGCCACCCTAGTTGACTGACAGACTCCCCGGACTGCCTAAACTTAAAAATGCTCCTTAAGGTATATACTTGTATCATAAAATGGAACAATTATTTCATCTATCTGCTGGACTAAGTTGTGTGCTAGACATCGTTTTAGACAATGGAAAAAAAAATACATTAGGAAATAAGTACCAATCAATTGCACAAGACCCTAACTTAAATGTACAACCAATTTGCCTACTCCATTGGACTGCTACAGGTACTAACATGTACCTGAGACAATAAAAAGCGTTATTGGACTTCACTGTTTAATATTTTCACAGCAATCAGAAGACAGGGCTGCGTGCAGTGCAAAACAAACATACTCCAATGTTCAAATAAATGGAAATGGTGCTGTTCTGAACGACCTGTTCAAAAACGGGGAGGGGTTGTGGAAGGCTGTCAGCATGGCCGCTTCCCTTAAAATACGTCACTCACTTGCTTCAAGCCTCACCCCGTCACACACACCAAACCTACCTCAACGTCTGTCCAAGAAAGTTGAAGAATGTTTTGGGGAAACGTGTCGTTCAGCACAGATACACAATGTAGCAAACATTAAATCAAACTGAACGCACCCCAGTCTTCACTGTTTTACATTTTCATAACAATCAAAAGATGGTCATAGAGGGCTCAGGCTGTCAAGAATAAGAAATATAAGTTTGAGGAAAGCTGCTGTTTGATGTAAGGCCTCTATCTCTGACCATTCTCTCCACAGTAGCCTTGCTCCAGCGCAATCTTCATGGATTACTATGTAGCCTTGCACCAGCGGAAATAAAAACAGAAACCATCTCCTTTCTGAACAGCTCCTTATTCATACAATGTTTTTAACATAACTGCAGTCACAACCACCCACAACTCTCAGAGCATACAGTTGTTGAGTCTCTCCAGATTCTGTCTACAGATTAGAATAACATTTCATTTCAATCTACATCCAATCAGTGGATTTGGAGCCAGACGTATATTTTAATGTCTCACCAATCAAAGGAGCTAAAAATTAACATGAGCCAGAGGAGCTAAATTAAAAAATATATGATATTTAAAAAGATATGGCATATGAGAGAATATCTTAGCATATCACATGGTGTTTATGTGTGGACGCAAACTGAGCCTAATAACGTTATATTGTCATGAAAACCGACCAGGAGAAACGTCTTCTTCAGCTCTGAGTAAGGAAGCCTCCACAGGCCCACATCATCAATGAACTCCAGTCCATTTGAAAAGGCACAACATTAGCAAGTCTGTATCCACTCAGCAACCCTGTCTGATAAGACAGAGAGCAAGTCCTATGTAGTCCAACTTGTTATGTCCTGTCTGTCACTCACGATGTGTCTTGAGGTTGTCTCCTGCCGCACTCTCCCTGACAGATAGAAAACATTATCACAACCACTCACTGATGAGACAAGGAAAGGTTCACACCTACAGTTTATTTAAGTGATAATACCCAATAAGCCTGTGAATACCGGCTTCGAGGGCATTATCACTTTTATACAACGGGTTACCAACATATTCAAATAATGATTGGCATATTTTCATTAAAAACGTTATTTTGATTAATTTTTTTGTACTATTTCTTCCTTCCACAAGATATAGTCCCGACACAAATCTAGGGTTGCTAGAGACGCCACCCAGTCGTTCGTTTTTTTTGTTCTGTATCTATGGACGCGAGCTACCCAGTCGTTCGTTCTAAATGTTCCATTGCCATACTGGCTGGCAACATTCTTATCTCTTGCTTGCTAGCTAGCCAACTACGGCTAATTTACAGTCACGTCAAAAAGTTTCGCCAGGATAACAGCAAAGAAGCCGCATTTGCATAAGCTGTTTTCTAGTGACATTTATTTGGATACATCCATAACAATGAGCTACTGAGGCGCGATTTCGCCTGGCATAGAGAATGTGCTTACTCGTCAGGACACTGTTGTTCAGAGGAGCTAGCCAACAACACAGCTACAGTAACACAATCACTTCAAACGGAAGCTGGAAAGACTGCAGATTAGCTGCGTTTCGTTTGACCTTTTTTTCAATAGACTTTAAAATTGTTTTTTTTATATATCCATAAAAATGATGCCAACTGTTTAATGATTTCGACCGGCTGAGATACGCTGCCTGCCTTTCTGTCTCGTCCCTTCTCCCGACACGTTCAATACTATGGGACAGCAGGAGATCGAATTTGAATAATGAAACAATGTTGCAAATGTCGGAGACAGACAGCAAAGTTTAAACAAATCTCCCATGTTGAAAACTAATGTTAGTCTAAAAGAAATGTGAGATAATGTCTAGATGCTTTTTATAGTGGAGATCAAGTTTATAAAGTGCCTGACTGGGCTGATGAGACAATGCATTGCGCAGTCAGATGGAGCAGTGTAAATAGGTATTTGAACGTCATAGATTTAGCTGGTGGTAACTCGTGGAATAGACACCGGCTGGAATGCGGTTTTAACCAATCAGCATTCAGGATTAGACCCACCCGTTGTATAAAACAGTAGGAAGCACACATCATAACGATTAACCAACCATATTCAGAATGGACAAATAAAATATATGTCCAATCCAGTTAGCTAAAGAAAACGAGACTGTATAGTGACTGGGGAGAATAACAGTCAGTATTTCGGGGTACCTGGAGGGAGACACAAGGATGCTTGGACACCTACCATCCGCTCCGGTGAGGTGCAGTGTCAGGTGTGCCTCCATTCTTTCCACCAGTACCTAAATGTTAGAGGACAACAATACAAGTTAGCTAGCTAGTACTTCATGGCAGCATGCCTTTCAGACATAGCTAGCTAACGTTATAGAAATAAACGTGATGATGAATAACTAGCTAGTTTAACACTCACCTTGTCGGTAATACATATCGTTCACAGTGTTTCCGTAAATTTTCCAAGCGAAATGGATGGCAATGAGACTGACAACGAGCCAGCTAAACAATATCTTGAATATTGACACTCTCATATCATTAGCCAGCCAGTCATCAACAAATTCGGAAAGAAACGACACAAACCCGTCCACAATGCGGGATAAAAACTCGAAATCCCAGGGCTCTTCCATTTTATAAAACAACACCCAAAGTGTATGCTTTGTCAAAAAACATATTTTTTCTAAACCAGCTAGTTAACGTTAGGTAATATGATCAAGGCTGAGTAACTGTCTAAACCACGGAGGTTTACTATAGCTAGCTAACGTAAATGAACCGCGGCTAAACGGGTAGCAGCTAGCCAACGGGTGATGCGCTGACTTTTTCAATTCACCCCATTCGTCAAACAGACTGAGGAGGAAACTTTCATAGTCACAGATGAAATAATCTTTGCTTTTGTGTTATGTCATGAAATACTTTTCAATTAAAATAACCATACTATTATAATGACACTAACCTTATCTCATATAGCTAGCTCTTGGTGCAGTTAGCTACCTATTTTTGGGGAATAGAATCCTCCGTGTCAAATCTGAAAGTATATTTTTTGGTCTAGGTTTTAGGGAATCGTGTCTGTATATGGTTGCGCATTGACGGCAACCAGCACGACTCGTAAAATAAATAAAAAGAACGCTAAAAACGCGCCCTGGAACGTACCCTGTGTGTGGGGGAGGGAGTTTCTCCCCTCATTGGTTTATTACTTGCTCCATCTAAATTACTATTGGACACCATTGGGATTCTGGATGCGCTGTTGTGAGTGAAAAAAACTTGTTTACCAGTTAGTTATATGGCCTAAATTTACGTTATACCTTTCCCCCGATGATTTAACAACGGAATATCCAAACGTAAGGTTTGTTTTTTTGTACATTATTTTAAGTTGTCTCAGTGTTGTAGCTACATTGATAAAGTTAGCTATTTGCTAAAGCGACTATAGTTAGCTGGCTGCTTTATTGTGTGCAGCAAAACTGGGGGTTGTGGAGTACTGGAATGGATTTAGCTGGATGTTATGTAGTGAGGGTAGCCTGCAATAAAAAACAAGAAAAGCTAAATCAACTAGTTAGTTAGCTAATTTTATTTGTTCGCTAGATAGGTAACGTTAACTCATTAGCCAGCTAATCGGATTAATCCAGTTAGCTAGATAAAGGCGTTTTAATTTATTATATTATTATTTATTAATGTAGAGCTAACGTTAGCTGTGGTGTGTTCTGTATAGCGATGCATATTGGCTTCAGTTGTTTTAGGAAATTAACTTAGCTAGTTAAGTTGAAGTTCAAAGCGTAGTATATAAAGCTAACGTTGCCAGTAACAAACGGCTACTTAAATATGTTCTTACTGATCAAGATGCCGGTCAGTGAGTGTTTGCTACCAAAGCTAAAGCCACATACACTGAGTGTACAAAAAAATGACGTAGACTGACCAAAGCTATGATCCCTTATTGATGTCACCTGTTAAATCCACTTCAATCAGCGTAGATGAAGGGGAGGAGGCAGGTTAAAGAAAGATACATGGATTGTGTATATGTGCTATTCAGAGGGTGAATGGGCAAGACAAAATATTTAAGTGACTTTGAACGGGGTATGATAGTAGGTGCCAGGCGCACTGATTTGAGTGTGTCAAGAACTGCAACTCTCAATTGTAAAAAATAAATAAAAAAAGAACTACAACGCTGCTGGGTTTTTTACGCTCAACAGTTTCCTGTGTGTATCAAGAATGGTCCAACACCCAAAGGACGTCCAGTCAACTTGACACAACTGTGGGAAGCATTGGAGTCAACATGGGCCAGCATCCCGGTGAAACGCTTTTGACACCTTGTAGAGTCCATGCCCCGACTAATTGAGGCTGTTCTGAGGGCAAATTGGGTGCGCAACTCAATATTAGGAAGGTATTCCTAATGTTTTGTTCACTCTGTATATCCTCTGACACTCTCCATAATGACCCATTTTAGGCTTGTCATCTATCTAGGGCGTTAGCTACTTGCATTACATGTTTGTGGCTAGCTGTGTAGCTCGATCTCTAGTGGTGTGCTGTTGTATGATAACTGTTACTGTTAACTGAATATCAAATGAATTACTAGTATGTCAATGAATGCTTCCTTTTTCTGTGATTTCCAGTGTCTGTGATGTCAACATGGAGAGAGATGACGATCAAGAAAAGGGAGAGATGGAGATAAAGAGTTGTGAGATTCCATCCTCTGACTGCACGCTGTCAACTGGTAATGAAATGCCTTTCTAATGGCGTGATATCTAATCTATAATGAAAGTTAGGTCATCTTTAATGACATCCAACTGATCTTGACATGCCTTCACTCAGTAAGTACAGGGATCTGCAGTGTTTGTGATCCTGAGTTAATTTCTGCTGATCTCACTCCTGCTCTGCCCTCTGAAAATCACACAGTTCCTGGGCCTGCTGGGCCAGTGGGAGGAGACAACGACACCAATGTGACTTTAGAGGAGCCTAAGAATCCACCTCCATCAGATACTATGGGCGAGGAGGAGACCCTGGAACTAGAAGCGGCCCCTGACCAGGAACTAGACCTGGCCCCTGTCCAGGTAAAAGAGGAAGAGACTGATGAGTGCAGTACGACGGAATTTCAGAACAGTTCAGGTAGTCAACCAGAGACTGTGCCAGAAGAGGCTTCAGCTTCAGCTGAGAATGGGCAGGATGACTCAGGGGAGTTTGTGGTCACTATGTTGGCCAGAGGTAAACTGGAGGAACAAGGTGTGGGAGTGAAGGGGAAGTCCTCTCCACTGTCAGAGACTGGCACCCCAGAGGCCCCCCCATCCCACCGTGAGGAAGACGTGACAGCTGAGAGCTGGAGGCAGCACAGGAAGCATGTGTTTGTCCTGAGTGAAGCAGGGAAACCCATCTACTCCCGCTATGGCAGTGAAGAGGCCCTGTCGTCCACCATGGGAGTCATGATGGCACTGGTGTCCTTTGTCCAGAGTAGTGACAACATGATCCGCTCTGTCTACTCAGGTGAGAATTTCTAGAATTTCCTTACATTCTTGACCATGACAATAAGTTACTATAGATGTTTTTGCATCATACTTTGCTCCCTCTGTACAGCTTTACATCATGTTGTTTCACTGTGTGTCTACTCTCTACCTCTCCTCTCCCTCAGATGGGCACACGGTGGTGTTCATGCAGAAGGGTCCTCTGGTGCTGGTGTCTGTGTCGAGCAGCCGTCAGTCAGAGCAGCAGCTGCGTGGTGAGCTACTCTACGTCTACTACCAGATCATCAGCATGCTCACCCAGGCCAGCATCACACGCATATTCGAACACAAGAAGAACTATGACCTGCGGCGACTGCTGGCCGGCTCCGAGAAGATCCTGGACGGCCTCCTCAACCTGGTGGACACAGACCCCAGCTTCCTGCTGGGAGCGGTGCACTGCCTGCCCCTTACTTCCTCTCTCAGGGACTCCCTCAGCCAGATCCTACAGAAGGCCATCACCCCCAACCTGGTCTTCTCCATCCTCATCGCCAAGAACCAGCTGCTCACCATCGTCCAGGAGAAGACTGTGATTGAGGACGCCAGGCTGGAGCCTGCTGACGTCCACCTGCTACTCAACCTCATTGGGGCCTCCTCTGCCTTCCAGGCCGGAGAGATCTGGACTCCCATCTGCCTGCCTCTCTTTAACCCTGACTGTTACTTCTATGCCTACATCTCCTACCTGGACCCTCCAGAATGCACTGTGTGTCTGCTGCTGCTCTCCACGGATAAGGAGGCCTTTTATGCGGTGGCAGAGTGTAAGAGGAGGATAGAGGAGGCCATGCTGGCTCAGAGCTCCCTGAGCCTCATAGCCAAGGCCCACTCCTACAGCGTGAGCCAGGTGGGTGTCTCAGACCTCAGGCACTTCATGTACAAGCCCTTTGATGTCCCAGACAACCACAAGCAGCTCACCCAGTTCACCAGGTAGGTGGTATATTTTTGTTGTTGTGCCTGTGTAACCTTCACCCAGTGAATGATTATGAATGATTCACGTCTTTGTCATTTGACTACTTTCTTGCATTTTTTAACTTAATAGTGGTTCTGCATTTTTGTGTTAATGTGTAGAAAGAAAGATTAGCCTACAAACATAATTACTCCAAAAAGGAATGTCAAAGGGGAAATGTGTAGCACAGGAGGCTGCTGAGGGGAGGAGGGCTCATAATAATGGCTGGAACGAAGCGATTGGAATGGCATCAAACACATGGAAACCATGTTCTAAGTATTTGATGCCATTCCACTGATTCCACTCCAGCCATTACCAGGAGCCCATCCTCCCCAATTAAGGTGCCACCAACCTCCTGTGGTGTGTAGTACATTAAAATATGTGCCTAATCAGGTCAGATCACATGCATCCTCCAGTAGGCCTATTGCTTATGATTGCCATATTAATATTACGGAATCATAGAAATTGAAAGTGCATGATATCCATGATGAAACTGATAAGATTGTATCACTCACTGTAAGCGAAGCATGCCAAGTGACTTCAATTATTTCTTATTTATCTTGATTGCTATCTTTTGAGTTTCTTATTAGACGAGCTGTACCAGTGAGCACAAACTTGCAAAATCTAATAAAACTGGGAAAATAAATACTTACCATGCAACGCTGCCTCTTGCAAACTCCGAGTTATCGAAAGGCTAACAGTCTGACTTACTTTAGAGGAGCATGATCAAAGTGGGAAAAGCAAACATGTTTATTTAGCTAAAAACACTGTTCTATGGCTATTTCTTTCTGATGTATACAATTGGCCGATATGCACTGCATAATGTCAGGTCTTGCTCTGTCCTTGTTTAAGACGTTTGATGTGCTGTTGATTTCAGCCCAGAAATGGAGGCTCCCTACAGCACCGAGGAGGAGAGGATGCGGCTGCTGGACCTGTACCGCTACATGCACGGTCGCATCCACAGCTCCTCCCGGCCCCTCAAGCTCATCTACCACGTGGCAGAGAGGGAAACCCTGCTGGCCTGGGTATGTCACTCCCACTGGGAATACACGTAGAAGTGTTACTATGGGCAGCTCTCTTTACTGGATCCTGTTTTAATCTGGAGGCTAGGTCTCACCAACCTGCATTCTGTTGTAGATATGAAGTTCAAGGGTTTACATTGCAGTATGTGAGCTATGTTGGATTGTTGCTAGCGTTCATGTTGCATACTTTTCAGCTCAATTGAACACAACAGTAATTTCAAAGAATTTGAAACTGTTATATTTAAGGTTTAGTTCATTGTCATGATGTACAACATTGGCAGCTAAGAGCTGAATTGCAGTATACAGTCCATACCTAAATGAATAGACAGATAATAATAGTTGAAATGGACCTGCTAAGTCAACTAATTGCATGCTCTCTGTCTATTTCTCTATAGGTCACAAGTAAATTTGAGTTGTACACTTGCTTCAGCCCCCTGGTGACTAAGGCCCGTGCCATTAACGCCATAACCAAGCTTCTACGTTGGATCAAGAAGGAGGAGGACCGTCTCTTTATCCGATACCCACCCAAGTATTCAACCACCCCCAACCCCAGCAAAAGCTCCCGCAAGTCTAACCAGCAGGACTCCACAGATAATGGCTTCATGTCTCTCCTATAGAGCTGCTCTAGCCCTGGCTATTCCACTCTGTCAACATAGTTTATACACTGGTTCTACTAGAAGAGGTGTTTGGCACTGGCCACATCCTACATCTTTTTGGACTTCATTGAACTTTGACCACTGGACCATTGAAGGATGACTTGCCTTCTTGAAACTTTGACTCTAGTATTACTTCTGTACCTTTATAAGAAAGCATGTACAGTAATTGCGTTAGTGCTTTTAGATTACAGTTGAACAAGTTTGGTCTGGAAAACTGTAAGGAGAAAGCAAACATTTTAAAATTGGCTAGTGGTGGAATTTTCAATGATATCGAATTGTTTTTATATTGTTTTATTCTATTGTAACAAAGGTGAGCGCTCTTCTTGAAGGCATCATATCAGACTCGTTACATACAACTATTGCAATTCAAGCTTTCATGGGCATTGACACTGTAGCACATGACAAAAATGAATGGAAGGATTACCTAGAACTACTCCTGAATATATTTTCAACTGCCTTGCCATCATACGTATTGCTAGAAACCTTAGATGTTGACAGGCTGGCAAATAGGAAATTAATAAAAAAAAGTTTGGTTATTGGTGGGATAAACAGAAAATTAAAATGTATCAATGTCTGATTTTGAAATCGCATCCTCTAGAATAGGAAGGGTTACCAATTGTATGGATAGTCCATGACATGACCTCTACGTGTGAATTGTTCTCAGTTGATACAATTGCTCAACAATTGTTTTACTGGCATGTTATCTTTGCAGTTTAGATTGTAAATAGTGTCAGTGTTCATACTAAGTTGTTTAATTATGCTCTGGTAATATAAACACAGTTACATTTTCTATCCTTCGTAAAAAAATCTGTATTGCTGGGAGCCACATTTTCCCCTAGTAATCCTCAAATAATTAATATTAAAGTACCTGATGGTTAAATGCTTTGTCCAGCCCACAGAGATCCTACATTAAGAGTTCTAATTTGTGGAGTTGTTTAAAGTCACCTGCTGCAAATTCTCCCAGCGGATACCGGGATCTACTATGATGGACTGATGTGTGATTTCATGAGTGGTGGCGGTTCAGTCTTACCTGATTTGACTGTTAGGAATATTTTATCCAGAGTGTTAATGTTCATTGAGTTCCTAAATAAATCCCAGGTTGCACAAACCACCGTATGTGTCATTATTTTATAACTGCATGTTAGATTGAGACTGAAAACAAACAACAGTTTTAAACAATATTTATTTGAGAAAATATTGTTTCAGACAGATTTTAGATCTTGTGGTAGAATTAAAATGACAAGATCCAGAACTCCTCTGTGCCACCTAATAAAAAGTGTAGTAGGCCAGTGCACTTATGCCTAGACAACTACAGGGTGTTGTGCCAACTGACCACTAGGACACATTATCTGATACAAAGAGCTACAGAGCTTCCTACATCTTTTTCAATATTTATTTTTTAAATAACAGACTCAATTATTGTCACAATATAAATTAAAATCTAATATTTTGATTTTTTTTGCATTCCTTAAATTACTTAGTGTATTATAAACACAGACATTTACATATATACAAAAATATGTGCATATGCACATAACCAAGTTTTTACCATTTTTTTTCATACCTATGGCTTCAGAGCTCAATCTACAAACCATTTCAAACTAACATTGTGCTTTTCAAGTCATTGGAGGGTTTGCAAATAACATCTTGCCACTGACTGGAATCCCAAGTTATTGACCTTATTGAAAAGTGGTTGCAGTGACCCATTTCTTATGTCATGACTAGACATTCAAAAGTCCTGTTGTTCCATCAAATAGCTGCAACAAGCACACCATCACCATTTCATATAAAAAAGAAATAAAAACCGAAATAGCGTCAATGTGTAAAAATGTATAAGAAGCATGGTATTTCAATGACAAATACAATCTGAATATGCTTTGAATCAAGCAAATCCCTTTTGAGGATAAAATATATACAATTACTTTCTTTGTCTTGATTCACTTTGGGCTAAAACAAATGTTATATTATTACTAAACTCATTGCAACAGAGTGGTTGTGTAAAGTACTAAAAAGTAATCACAATGAATAATCACATTTTATCACAAAAAAAGGAACATTAGGAAACTCCTCCTTTCACATTTCCCCCAAATTCCAAAATGATAACATTCAACCTAAAGGTCAGAGTCAACCAGACCATCACTCATTTAGGTAGCTGCACCCAAATATATTGGCACCCTTGCACTTTTCTTAAAGAATTCTCTATTTCTTCTAAAATAAACTGAAATTACCAAAGAAAATGTTGGTCTCCAAACGTTATTGGATTGTCAACATTGGGCGGAAACTTAAGTTAAACATTTTGATTTAGAATATAAAAGCAAAATACTATGGACAACATTATTGGCACCCAGGAGCTAATACTTGGTTGCACAGCCTTTGGCCAAGTTGACTGCAAAAAAAATTACATTAATGAGCTTGCTGCACCTTTCTAATTGCAATATGGCCCACTCTTCAGCTGCAAACTGCTCCAATTCTTTCATGTTTGAGTGGTGCTTTCCACTAACTGCTGTTTTCAGATCTCGCCATAGGTTTTTGATCTGGACTTATCACTGGCCACTCCAGAACATTCCAATGCTTATTCTTGAACCATTCCTGAGTGCTTTTTGATGTGTGTTTGGGTTGTTGTCCTGCTGGAAGACCCACAACCTTCAACAGAGACCCAGTTTTTGGACACTGGGTTGAACATCGTACTCCAAAACACCTTGCAAACGTTCAAGGCCCCACATACCAGAGGCAGCAAAGCAACCCCACAGCATTATCGAACCTTCCCCACGTTTGATTCTAGTGAGGGTGTTCTTTTCTTTGAATGCTTAATTTGGTCATCGGTAAACATAGGAAGACCCCACTGCTGAAAGAGACAAGAAAGCTCCATTGAACTTTAAAAATAAAAATAAAAAGCCTGGGGTTGCTTTGCTGCCTCTGGGGTCCTTGAATGTATACAAGACATCATCAAATCAGAAGATTATCAGGTGTTTGAGTACGATATTCAACCCAGTGTCCAAAAACTAGGTCTCTGTTGAAGGTTGTGGGCCTTCCAGCAGGACAACAACCCAAACACACATCAAAAAGCCCCCAGAAATGGTTCAAGAATAAGCACTGGAATGTTCTGGAGTGGCCAACGATAAGTCCAGAACTGAATCCCATCAAAAACCTATCGCGAGATCGGAAAACAGCAGTTGGTGGAAGGCACCACTCAAACATTGAAGAAATTGAGCAGTCTGCAGCTGAAGAGTGGGCCAAATTGCCAGTAGAATGGTGCAGCAAGCTAATTATTTTGCCGTTAACTTAGCCAAAGGCTGGGCAACCAACTATTAGCTCCTGCCAATAATGTTGTCCATGCCATTTGCTTTTATTTTCTGAATTAGAATTGTTAGCTTAAGTTTCCCCCCTTAAAAAAATGGTGTACGGCAATGTTGACAAACCAATAGGAACGTGTGGAGATCAAACTTTTTTTTTTTCAATTTCAAATTATTTGAGAAGAAAGTGAATTATTTAAGAAACTGTATATCGAACCACTCAAATTCCATGTCCACCTTCTAGTAAATTAATGAAGAGAATGTTGTTCTTTTCTCACTTATGCTTTTTGTTATTGGTGAGGGTTTGATCGCTCCTAGCCAGACAGTTTGCAGTGGATTTGCTGACTGACACTAAAATCCTTCATATAAAATTGGAGGGGTTGAAACTGAGGTTCCCCTTGACGTGGTTGATAACGTGGTTCAGGTGTACCATGGCACGGTCGTATGCCGTGTGTACAGACTTGCGGACGCTAGGCTTCTTGCCCTCCATCAGGCGCAGTTTGTCCACCGTGTCATCCATCCCCATTTGCAGCAACTTGTCCCGTGGCAGCCATTGCCTGAAAGGAAGAAAGAGGGTTCAAAAGAACACAAAAACATAGAATAGGAGCAATCAATAGACACAAACATCAACTATCCAAAAAAACTGCCTCAGATAATTAATATGAGACTCAACATTCAGCAGAACACTTGTCTTGAATTTCTTACCAGGTCCTTTTGGTGTCGAAGAACAGCACAAGGTAGTGCCTCTCCCCAGTCTCCTTCTGCCTTCGCTCCCCCAGCTTGAGCACGTCCCCAGGAGGCACGGGGATGGGGATGCCATTGTGAAGAAGCCCTTCCTGAGGCATGTCAGGGTCAACAACCTGGGGAAACCCATTGGCAGTTTATGTACCCTGTTAGTCGCTGTGGTACAACAATGGACGAGTTTGTTTTGAATCGGTTGGGCAGAGTTTGCACATTTTAGACCATTCCATTGCTCGTAAAATGAAAACTCCACCCACCACGGGCAACGAGCCATGCAAAACGAACTCACTCAATGACTGGTGAGGTCATCATACACTACATCTAAAAGGAGGGTTCTAACTTGTGCTTGTGCTTGTGCCAACCCTCTTATTGCAATGAATAAGTGACTGAATTCATGTTCTCACCATTGCTGGATAGGATGGATATCCACGACACTTAGCCCAGACCAGGTCGAGTGGTGTGAGCTCTGTGTCACGATCAAAGGGCAAAAGCATACTCCCCCCTGAGCACAAACACAAAGATGGGGGATGTTGAACTGGAAAAATGGAAATGGTTGAGATGGGAAAATTATTTTCTATAATGTTATACAGAATTTGACAGGATTTACTATAATGTATACATCTATTTGCCAATACATTAATTACTGGAAGTTGAAATTGTAGCTCTTTTGTCTGACCCAAAGGTCTGTGGTGCCTGAACACAGTCACCTGAGCCTCCATTCTGGCTCTCTGGGACTTTAGCCAAAGCTGGTTTACCACGGCTGCGTTTGGGTGGCGGGGGGGCACTTCATCCGTAGACAGACAAGGGAAGAGAGATGTTATTTCTGAACATATTCCACCTTAGAAATCAAAGTACATTTCAGAGGTATCAGGTGTTCATTGGGATCCTCACCTGTGTTTTTGGTCGTTGGATGCTAGGTCTGAGGAGTCATCTTGGTGCTTTCCTAGCCCATTTGTAAAGCCTACTAGAATACACATTCTGGATGTCATCATCATTATCTGCCCTCTCTTCCCTTATGCAACTCACAAATAAAAAGGGTAAAGACATTGTTTCCTTTATAGCAAGTATGTTATTACTCATCGCCTACAGCTTTAATGAAATGACAGAGCAAATGTAAATTACATTTTTCGTATCTACCTTCCACTTTGACGAGGGGGAGGGGCTTGTCTCCCTCGCTGTCAGAGCTGGGCCCTCTGGACCTCAGGCGGTGGGATGACGGTGAGGAGGGTGTGGGGGGAGGGGTGGAGAGGTCACTCTCACTGGGAGGGTTTGTAATGGTGAGGGAACTGTCCAAGCCATTGGTTTTACCCTCATTGGTCCCTACATACTGTAACTGAGCTGCTCTGATCTTTGCCAGTCTCGCTCCATTTTTAGCTTTCTTGAACAGAACAGATGTGCGCCGGCCAACTCCAACCAAAGGACAGGCGTTAGTGGGGGGACTGGGAGCCTGTAAAGGAGAGACCTTTTGAGAATCCTCCTTCTGTTTGCACGGTGTCGCTGTCTCCCCAACTTCAGCATCATCGTCACTCAGCCCTTTGCCCCCACTCAGGGAGGATCTCTGCCGCTTGTAAGAGCGTCCTGGTGACCTTCGCCCTGCGGCCACTAGGCCCAGTACAGGTGGCTCAGGTGGGGCATCGCCTGGCAGGGGGGACGACGCTGGGCATGAAGGCTCTAGTGTTGGTGGAGAGTCATCTACAACAAGGAAACACACATTCACTTTGTTAGGGTAAGAACATCAGAATTGCACAACAGCAAATCATTAGCTAATTAAGCGAACACATCCATACCAGAAAGATTAGTAGAGTTGGAAAGCAACAAGCCCATGAACAAGCAAAGTAAATCCCTTGTACCTTTCCCCGGAGTAGAGGCTGATGTTAAAGGACCGTTCTCCACATTGTCCTTCTTTCCCTCCTCCTCCTCTTCTTCATCTTCTTCTTTCCCATTGTGCGACAGTGAGCGCTGCTGTTTGTGCGTGACCGTGTTGATCTCTCTACGCAGCAGCCGGATGCGTTTGGTTCGTCCTCCACTGGAGCGCATGGATGCCACCATGTCCAGCTTATCCAGCAGAGCCTTCAGCTGCTCCTCTGTGGACAGGTGGAGCCTGTTGTCTGGATCCAGGAGGGAGTCCACTGTGGAGAACACAAAGGCCGTAAAAGAGGAGACAGAACAGGTAGACGAGATGAAGGACGAGAACAATGTATTTCTGCAATGAAAAGCGCTATACAAATTCAATCAAATTTTTCTTATGTGTTTGCGATTGTGAAAGGCAGATTTTTCACCGAAAGCCATTCCAAGGCCCACCCAGCCGGTGTACTCTGCTCACCGTCCTCCCAGGTGCATTGGTAGAAGCCCTGCTTGTTGGGAGAGTCTGGGAGGTGCATGCCCGTGCTGGGGTCCAACCCGATGGTCTGCGCCTGTCTGTGGGCGTGGCGGAGGACGGCTCCTCCCACCTCCCGTAGGTGCAGGGCGGCTCGGTGGAACGCGGTCTCCTTGGAGTTGTACCTCAGGCAGTTGGACACCATGAGGTTAAAGTCCCCCTCCAGGTCGGCTGTGGAGCAGTAAGCATGGGCTTCCAGTTTGGCACGCATGCTGGATAAGTCCATGGGCTTGGAGATGAACTCCAGATAGTCCGGCACCTTCAATTAAAAACATACAAATTAACAGACTATTTATGAAAAGAAGGTGACAACTGCAGTACTACTGGCTGAATTTTAAATAAATGCAAAAAGTGACCCATTTATCTAACCCATTTATCTAACCCTACTAACCTCTGCTAGATTGACAGGTTGAGAGAAGATCTGTGCCGTGTCCTTCTCCTGAAGCTGGTCCAGGGTGGAACGCAGCAGTATTAACGCAGGGGTCAACTTCAGCTCCAGAGCAGCCTGCTGAAGTTTCATCTGGAGGGAGAGAGAGAAAGCGAGAGGGGGAGAGAAAGAGGGAATATGAAAGGGTGCAGAGTAATTTAAGGAAAGACATAAGAACGATACAGTGATTGTAAAAGTTAATTATTTTCGTAAGGTATATGCAGATGGTAACTCATGATTATATAGTATGTCGACATTTTACATGGCGGCGTCCTCCTACTGAAACAGTACCTGCTCTCTCTTTAGTCTCTCTCTCTTGCGGACGAGTTCCACCAGGAGCCGGGCTCTCTCCAGGTCCTGCCGCAACTTCTGCCAGTAACGAAGCTCCTCCCTCGCCGCACTAAGCTTCTCATCTGGCTCCCTCTGAACACATGCACACACACATTCAGCATAACTATTAAACATTTCACCATCAACATGAGATCTAGAATTGACTTTAGGTCTCCCTCTCCCTCCCCGTATCTTCCTGACCTGCTCAGCAGTCTTCTGAGCCTGCAGATGGGAGTGCAGGCGGCGGATGAGAGGCATGCCATTTCGGGACTGACGTTTCAGCAGCCAGTAGTTGTGAAGCCTCTGCATGAACTGGTTCTTCCTCTGGACAGCAACCCCAATGCAAATCTTGTTCAGCCTGTTTACGACATAGCAATAACTTTTGTTATTCATATTTTGGCATCCTTCCACTGTATAGGTTGTGTATTAACAGTTGGTATAAGGCAGCTATACTGTTACATTAAACATGTTAAATACATAAAAATATGCTTTCTACACTGGAGATTACTACAAGCAAATATAGTAAGAAGGAGAACAATGCTACTGAAAGTGGTGTGTTAGGAGAAGGGGTGTGTGAGGTCGGACCTGTGAGAGGGGATCTGAGGCACCAGCAGCACAGGCACAGCGGCACGGCGGGTCGTCTGACCAGCAAGGCTCTTCTTTCCTTTCTTCTTCTGGCCTTTGGGAGTCTTTTTACTGGGCGGTGCCGGGGGGCTCTGAGTGTATGACCTTTGACCCCTGTTCCCCCTGCCTCCTACCAACCTTCCCTCCACCGCCTCATCACCTGACCCATCTCGCCGTGACCCGACTGGGGAGTGATTCTCACAGAAGGCAGTCTTCTTCACAGAGAAGGTGGTTCCGTTGACCCCAGTCTCCCGGACCGGGTCGATCTTCATGAAGAGGCCAGCTTTCTGGGCACAGCTGACATGGAAGGCCCGGTAGCAGTTGGCCTTGTGGCACTGGATGGACGCGCCCCTGCCTTTCTGCTTGCACAGGTAGCAGGTGAGCTTCCAGCGGGCTGAGGGGATGTTCTTCACCCCCTCCACTGGCTCCAGGAATACCGTGTTGGCAAAGCACACCTCTGGGATCCATATGGCACAGACAACGTGGGCCCAGCGTCCATCACTAGTCTGTTTGAAGGCACCTCCCCGGTTGGGACAGAGCACACAGTCCACAGGGCGCGAGGGGGACTGCAGACAGCAGCGGCACAGCCACTGGCCCTCAGGGATATAGGGCACGCCGTAACACTCCTGGTGGACGGCCAGGTTGCAGATGTCACAGAATAGGATGACGTTGCTGTTGAGACACTCGTCGTCCAGGCAGACGCAGCAGAAGGCGTCCTCATCCATGGCACTCTGGGACAGGGCCTGGCTCCGTGACTCCAGGATGGACTCCCTCTCCAGACGGTCGATCAGCAGCTCAAAGGTGTCTGGGGAGACGGACGCGTGGCCATCAGATACCCTCTTCTGGTTGACCATCTCCAGCCAGGCCAGGTCCTCCTCATCCATGTCGTACTCTGCCTCACAGTCCTGCTCCTCCCCTGACTTCTCTACGAAACGGTAGTAGGCCACAGGGAGGGGAGGTGTGTCTAAAGGACACGGGCAGTCAAGCACACGGAAGGTGGGCTCGGGGAGAGGGCTTTGGTGGGAAGGGTGTTGGGAGGAATTGGTGTGGCTTTGAGTGTGCTGCTGACTGCCAGAACGTCGGCTCTGGTGAGATGAGGTTTTGCTTTCCCTCCTGCGGCCCTTTGGGTTGGGAGGTTTACGCCCTGGTCTGGCTCTGCTCTGGGTTTGTTCGCTGTTCTCTTTGTTACTGTTGCACTCAACAATGTCCTGAGCCATCATCTCATCCTCTGTGATGACTGGGAGAGGGTCAGTGATGTTGATCCTGTGAAGCCTTCCATCCAGGTCCACCTCCACCATCTTCTGGGCCTGAGCATAGGTCAAAGTTTCTCTAGATGGAGATAGCTGCAGTCTATAGGGGGAAGGCGGCCGCAGCTGAACACTGGAGCCCTTGCCCCTCCCCCTCCCCCTGCCTCGGCCCCTGCCCATCTCAAGGCCAACTACTCCTGCCCTGCATCCCCTCCTCCGCAGCCTCCTCATGGGGGTTTGCACTAGCTTCCTAGATTGGAGAGGGCGAGGACGGACTTCTGCAAAAGAAAGAATGAAAAAACCTAATCTTCTAAATTCTGAATTGCACAATAAGTCAAAAGAGGAACTAATTAGAAGATATCATTCATGACATTTCAAATGTAAGCAGATTACATATCGCATTAGGAGTTGACAGATAAGGAAAACCCACCAGAGTAGATTTGAAACAGTCAAACACCAACTCATCAACATAGCTAATCCACTCTCCAGTGCCAGCCAATGAGATGGAGATCCATCTATCTACAGCACATTCGGAAAGTATTCAGAACCCTTGACTTTTCCACATTGTTACGTTACAGCCTTATTCTAAAATGGATTAAAATAAATGTTTGTCCTCATCAAATCGACACACAATACCCCATAATGACAAAGCAAAAAAAGGTTTTTAGAAATGTTTGAAAATGTATTAAAAATAAAAAACAGAAATACCTACAAGTTTGGACACCTACTCATTCAAGGGTTTTTCTTAATTTTTTACTATTTTCTACATTGTAGAATAATAGTGAAGACATCATAACTATGAATTAACATATGGAATCATGTAGTAACCAAAATATATTTTATATTCTTTGCCTTGATGACAGCTTGGCAAACTCTTGGCATTCTCTCAACCAGCTTTATGGAGGTAGTCACCTGGAATGCATTTCAATTAACAGGTGTGCCTTGTTAAAAGTTAGTTTGTGGAATTTATTGCGTTTGAGCCAATCAGTTGTGTACTGACAAGGTAGGGCTGGTATACAGAAGATAGCCCTATTTGGTAAAAGACCAAGTCCATATTATGGAAAGAACAACTCAAATAAGCAAAGAGCAAAGAGAAACGACAGTCCATCATAACTTCGAAAGTTTCTTCAAGTGCAGTCGCAAGAACCATCGCCACAGGAAAGGAAGACCCAGAGTTACCTCTGCTGCAGAGGATACATTCATTACCAGAGTTACCTCTGCTGCAGAGGATACGTTCATTACCAGAGTTCCCTCTGCTGCAGAGGATACGTTCATTACTAGAGTTCCCTCTGCTGCAGAGGATACGTTCATTACCAGAGTTCCCTCTGCTGCAGAGGATACGTTCATTACCAGAGTTACCTCTGCTGCAGAGGATAAGTTCATTAGAGTTACCTCTGCTGCAGAGGATACGTTCATTAGAGTTACCTCTGCTGCAGAGGATAAGTTCATTACCAGAGTTACCTCTGCTGCAGAGGATAAGTTCATTAGAGTTACCTCTGCTGCAGAGGATACGTTCATTAGAGTTACCTCTGCTGCAGAGGATAAGTTCATTACCAGAGTTACCTCTGCTGCAGAGGATAAGTTCATTACCAGAGTTCCCTCTGCTGCAGAGGATAAGTTCATTACCAGAGTTCCCTCTGCTGCAGAGGATAAGTTCATTACCAGAGTTACCTCTGCTGCAGAGGATAAGTTCATTACCAGAGTTACCTCTGCTGCAGAGGATACGTTCATTAGAGTTACCTCTGCTGCAGAGGATACGTTCATTACCAGAGTTACCTCTGCTGCAGAGGATACGTTCATTAGAGTTACCTCTGCTGCAGAGGATACGTTCATTACCAGAGTTACCTCTGCTGCAGAGGATACGTTCATTACCAGAGTTACCTCTGCTGCAGAGGATACGTTCATTAGAGTTACCTCTGCTGCAGAGGATAAGTTCATTAGAGTTACCTCTGCTGCAGAGGATAATTTCATTAGAGTTACCTCTGCTGCAGAGGATAAGTTCATTACCAGAGTTACCTCTGCTGCAGAGGATAAGTTCATTACCAGAGTTACCTCTGCTGCAGAGGATAAGTTCATTACCAGAGTTACCTCTGCTGCAGAGGATAAGTTCATTACCAGAGTTACCTCTGCTGCAGAGGATAAGTTCATTACCAGAGTTACCTCTGCTGCAGAGGATAAGTTCATTACCAGAGTTACCTCTGCTGCAGAGGATAAGTTCATTACCAGAGTTACCTCTGCTGCAGAGGATAAGTTCATTACCAGAGTTACCTCTGCTGCAGAGGATAAGTTCATTACCAGAGTTACCTCTGCTGCAGAGGATAAGTTTCATTACCAGAGTTACCTCTGCTGCAGAGGATAAGTTCATTACCAGAGTTACCTCTGCTGCAGAGGATAAGTTCATTACCAGAGTACTCTGCTGCAGAGGATAAGTTCAATTACCAGAGTTACCCTCTGCTGGCAGAGGAGGTAAGTTCATTACCGAGTTACCTCTGCTGCAGAGGATAAGTTCATTACCAGAGTTTACCTCTGCTGCAGAGGATAAGTTCATTACCAGAGTTACCTCTGCTGCAGAGGATAAGTTCATTACCAGAGTTACCTCTGCTGCAGAGGATAAGTTCATTACCAGAGTTACCTCTGCTGCAGATGATAAGTTCATTTAGAGTTACCTCTGCTGGCAGAGGATAAGTTCATTACCAGAGTTACCTCTGCTGCAGAGGATAAGTTCATTAGAGTTACCTCTGCTGCAGAGGATAAGTTCATTACCAGAGTTACCTCTGCTGCAGAGGATAAGTTCATTAGAGTTACCTCTGCTGCAGAGGATAAGTTCATTAGAGTTACCTCTGCTGCAGAGGATAAGTTCATTAGAGTTACCTCTGCTGCAGAGGATAAGTTCATTACCAGAGTTACCTCTGCTGCAGAGGATAAGTTCATTACCAGAGTTACCTCTGCTGCAGAGGATAAGTTCATTAGAGTTACCTCTGCTGCAGAGGATAAGTTCATTACCAGAGTTACCTCTGCTGCAGAGGATAAGTTCATTAGAGTTACCTCTGCTGCAGAGGATAAGTTCATTAGAGTTACCTCTGCTGCAGAGGATAAGTTCATTAGAGTTACCTCTGCTGCAGAGGATAAGTTCATTAGAGTTACCTCTGCTGCAGAGGATAAGTTCATTAGAGTTACCTCTGCTGCAGAGGATAAGTTCATTAGAGTTACCTCTGCTGCAGAGGATAAGTTCATTAGAGTTACCTCTGCTGCAGAGGATAAGTTCATTAGAGTTACCTCTGCTGCAGAGGATAAGTTCATTAGAGTTACCTCTGCTGCAGAGGATAAGTTCATTAGAGTTACCTCTGCTGCAGAGGATAAGTTCATTAGAGTTACCAGCCTCAGAAATCGGCAATTAACTGCACCTCAGATTGCAGCACAAATAAATGCTTCACAGAGTTCAAGTAACAGACATCTCAACATCAACTGTTCATAGGAGACTGCGTGAATCAGGCCTTCATGGTCAAATCACTGCAAAGAAACCACGACTAAAGGACACCAATAAGAAGAAGAGACTTGCTTGGGCCAAGAAACACGAGCAATGGACATTAGACCGGTGGAAATCTGTCCTTTGGTCTGATGAGTCCAAATTAGAGATTTTTGGTTCCAACCGCCGTGTCTTTGTGAGATGCAGAGTAGGTGAACGGATGATCTCCGCATGTGTGGTTCCCACGTGAAGCATGGAGGAGGAGGTGTGATGGTGCCACTGTCAGTGATTTATTAAGAATTCAAGGCACACAGCATTCTGCAGCAATACGCCATCCCATCTGGTTTGCGCTTAGTGGGACTATCATTTGTTTTTCAACAGGACAATGACCCAAAACACACCTCCAGGCTATGTAAGGGCTATTTGACCAAGAAGGAGTGATGGAGTGCTGCATCAGATGACCTGGCATCCACAATCACCCGACCTCAACCCATTTGAGATGGTTTGGGATGAGTTGCACCACAGAGTGAAGGAAAAGCAGCCAACAAGTGCTCAGCATATGTGGGAACTCCTTCAAGACTGTTGGAAAAGCATTCCAGGTGACTACCTCATGAAGCTGGTTGAGAGAATGCCAAGAGTGTGCAAAGCTGTCAAGGCAAATTGTGGCTACTTTGAAGAATCTAAAATATAAAACATTTTGATTTGTTTAACACTTTGACACATGATTCCCTATGTGTTATTTCATAGTTTTGATGTCTTCACTATTATTTTACAATGTAGAAAATAGTAAGAATAAAGAAAAACCCTTGAATGAGTAGGTGTCCAAACTTTTGACTAGTACTGTAAGTATTCAGACCCTTTGCTATGAGACTCGAAATTGAGCTCAGGTGCATCCTGTTTCCATTGATCATCCTTGAGATGTTTCTACAACTTGGAGTCCACCTGTGGTAAATTCAATTGATTGGACATGATTTGGAAAGGCACACACCTGTCTATATAAAGGTCCGACAGTTGACAGTGCATGTCAGAGCAAAAACCAAGCCATGAGGTTGAAGGAATTGTCTGGAGAGCTTCGAGACAGGATTGTGTCAAAGCACAGATCTGGGGAAGGGTCCCAAAAAATGTCTGCAACATTGAAGGTCCCCAAGAACACAGTGGCCTCCATCATTCTTAAATGGAAGAAGTTTGGAAGCACCAAGACTCTTCTTAGAGCTGGCCGACGGACTAATCTGGTTTGGCGATGCCAGTAGAACGCAACCTGCCCCAATGCAAAGTGACAACTTTAAAGTTAGGTGGAGGAGGAATAATGGACTGGGGCGGTTTTTCATGGTTCAGGCTAGTTCCAGTGAAAGGAAATCTTAACCCTACAGCATACAATGACATTCTAGATGATTCTAAGCTTCCAACTTTGTGGCAACAGTTTGGGAAGGCCCTTTCCTGTTTCAGCATGACAATGCCCCCGTGCACAATGCGAGGTCCATACATAAATGGTTTGTCGAGATCGGTGTGGAAGAACTTGACTGGCCTTGACTTCAACCCAATGGAACACCTTTGGGATTAATTGGAACGCCAACTGCGAGCCAGGCCTAATCACCAAACATCAGTGCCTGACCTCACTAATGCTCTTGTGGCTGAATGGAAGCAAGTCCCCGCTGCAATGTTCCAACATCTAGTGGAAAGCCTTCCCAGAAGAGTGGAGGCTGTTATAGCAGCAAAAGGGGGACCAACTCCATGTTAATGCCCATGATTTTGGAATGAGATGTTCGACGAGTAGGTGTCCACATACTTTTGGTCATGTAGTGTATATATAGATAGATATATAGAGATATTAAAATATGGAAAGAGACAGTGGACAGTTAATTAGGTACACCTATCTAGTACCGGGTCGGACACCCCTTTGTCTCTAGAACAGCCTGAATTCTTTGGGGCATGGAAACGTTCCTCAAACGTTATCAAGGGACCTAACGTGTACCAGGAAAACATTCCCCACACCATTACACCACCAGTCTGTACCATTGACACTAGGCAGGAAGGGGCCATGGACTTATGCCAAATCCTGACACTGCCATCAGCATGACGCAAGAGGAACCGGGATTCGTCGGACCAGGCAATGTTTTTCCACTCCTCAATTGTCCAGTGTTGGTCATGGCATGCCCACTGGAGCCGCATCTTGTTTTTAGCTGATAGGAGTGCAACAGCCCATCCATGACAAGGACCGACGACTTGTACGTTCCGAGATGCCGTTCTGCGCCATAATTTTCCTGTTTGTCGCCCGCCTGTTTGTTTGCATGATTCTTTCCATTCTCCTTCGACCGCTCATCAACGAGCTGTTTTCGCCCACAGGACTTCCGTTGACTGGATTATTTTTTTGGTCACACCATTCTCGGTAAGACACTGTCGTGTGTGAAAAGACCAGGAGGCCGGCCGTTTCTGAGATACTGGAACCGGCAAGCCTGGCACCGACGATCATACCACACTCAAAGTGGGTCTAGGGTTTCCGGGATGATGGTGTTGATGTGAGCCATGAAGTTCTATGAAAGGCTGGTCATGGCTCACATCATCATCCCGGAAATCCTAGACCCACTCAATTTGCATACCGCCCAAACAGATGACGCAATTTCAATTGTACTCGACTGCCCTTTCCCACCTGGACAAAAGGAACACCTATGTGAGAATGCTGTTCATTGACTACAGTTCAGTATTCAACACCATAGTGCCCTCAAAGCTCTAAGCTAAGGACCCTTGGACTAAACAGCTCCCTCTGCAACTGGATCCTGGACTTCCTGACAGGCCGCCCCCAGGTGGTAAGGGTAGCCAACAACACATCTGCCACGCTGATCCTCAACATGGGGGCCCCTCTGGGGTACGTGCAAGGTCCCCTCCTGTATCCTCTATTCACCCACGACTGTGTGGCCAAGCATGACTCCAACACCATCATTAAGTTTGCCGACGATCACCGACAACGATGAGACTGCCTATAGGGAGGAGATGACCTCTACCGCAACGTGAGCAAGACAAAGGAGCTGATCGTGGACTACAGGAAAAGGACAGCTGAGCACGCCCCCATTCACATCGACAAGGCTGTAGTGGAGCGGCTCGAGAGCTTCAAGTTCCTTTGTGTCCACATCACCAACAAACTATCATGGTCCAAACACACCAAGACAGAGGGCACAACAATGCCTATTCCCCCTCAGGAAAGATTTGGCATGGGTCCCCAGATCCTCAAAAAGTTATACAGCTGCACCATCGAGAGCATCCTGACTGGTTGCATCACCGCCTGGTATGGCAACTGCTCGGCATCTGACCGTAAGGTGCTACAGAGGGTAGTGTGTACGGCCCAGTACATCACTGGGGCCAAGCTTCCTGCCATCCAGGACGTCTATACCAGGCGGTGTCAGAGGAAGGCCCTAAAAATGGTCAAAGACTCCAGCCACCCAAGTCATAGACATCTCTCTGCTACTGCACGGCAAGTGGTACCGCAGCGCCAAGTCTAGTTCCAAAAGGCTCCTTAACAGCTTCTACCCCCAAGTCATAAGACCGCTCAACAATTAATCAAATGGCTCCCCAGACTATTTGCATTGGCTATTTGCATTTTTTACACTGCTGCTACTCACTGTTTATTATCTATGCATAGTCACTTTATCCCTACCTACATGTACATATTACCTCAATTCCCTCGACTAACCTATACTCCAGCACATTTGACTCGGTACCGGTACCACCTGTATATAGCCTCGTTATTGTTACTTTATTGAGTTACTTTTTTAAAACTTTATTTAGTAAATATTTTCTTAACTCTTATTTTCTTAAAACTGCATTGTTGGTTAAGGGCTTGTAAGTAAGCATTTCACAGTAAGGTCTACACAATTTCATTTGGAGGTCACTAGTTTCGCCCATTCTAAAGTTAAATCGAACAGTAACTGAATACCCCGTTGCCTGTCTGCCTGCTTTATATAGCAAGCCACGACCACGTGACTCAATGTCTGTAGGACCGAACCATTTTCGTGAATGTGGTGGTTGTACCTAATAAACTGGCCACTGAGTGTATAAATACACATCATTGGTGCCAGCCTGCAGCAAGTTTGTGCAATACAAGAGATTCACAGGAACGTGTGCATTGCATTCTATTTCTGGACAAAATAGCCACACAGCAAAAAATATTAGGCCTACTGATATTACTACTGATCTGCAATCTCAAACAAATTATCACATAGTGTTTTTCTGATATGTTATTAATCTAAAACTCATTTGGTATTACAGTACAAGTTTCTCTAACCTGCGAATTTACACTCGAGAGTACATCTCCGCATCCAATCACGGCTCGAGAACATTGCACACGTATATTTCTTACCAATCAACTGCTCGTATTATTTTCTTCCAGCTGAACAGACATAGTTGGGTTGCGGGGCGCTAAATACCAACCCGAGTATCCCGACTGTCAGCCATTTTATCCGTACAACAACATTTGCAGTCAACACTATTATTGTGAACTGATAAGCAACCGATAAAACAATGTCAACAGCACAACCGGGACACTATAGCCGGGTTAACACTGTGCATAACTGTACAATTACCATGTCGGCTAGATTGCCGCAATATGTGCGTCCTCTCGTATGTGTACGCAGGCTACAGACCCTCCAATACAACTCTAGGTTAGCGCAAGCTAGCTTGCACAAGGCACATAACTAGCTCGACATGACGAGAGCCACATCTTATGAAGCAAAAACAAACAAGTCAGCCAAAATGTCGGAAGTGTTTACCTTCTTTAACGTGATCCTATGGTATGCGCGAGCCAGAGAAAGGTAATATTAGGTAGCTAATGTTGAAATACGACCGAAACGGACCTCCTAGTAATAAGCTATGGCATTACTAGCCGGTAATTTCAGGGGCGACAGCGTCATCTTCAGCACTTCAGTCCTCCATGGTGACTTCGGACAAATGCTCAAACTCGACCTGCTTACATATCTGTGATTTAGACGTTTTCAACTGGAAATACATACACTAATTGTTACATAAAATAATGTAAGATGTGTCAGGTTGATGTACCTTGGGATGTAGCTAGCTAGGTATTCAGTCAAGATGGCTTGAAAAATACGCCCCTTTGGGGAAAAAAAAAACTATCACAGCCAATTGTGCGTCGTATTTTTGCCGCGTACACAACGCGCATTCGATTATGGTTGGCCAACACAGAAAACCCATTGCATCGAGTTGTAACGGTAGCACATATTAGCGCAAAGCGTTGAGAAAAGCTCCTCGACCTTTCTTGCGCGCCTTAACTTCATTATCGATGCACAACAGTACTTGACACCTGTTACGTCCAGTGCAGTCCTCACAGTAGGCTACGGTTACAAAATAGGTGAACAAGGTGCATAATGTAGGCTATGCCTGAATGCATAACCTTTTTCTGCATAGTTACTCAACTTGTCACAATTTATTCCATATACAATTTTTTTTATATAGATTCATGAAGGGGGAACATATCTGCAGCCAAGAGTTTGACATTTAAGAGGAATAGCGCCATGCAAGTGAACCAGCCAGCTCTCTTTACTGTTTACACTACACACATTCCCACCCCCTTTCGTTTGTCAAAGTTTTTTTTTTTTTTTTTAACCTTTTCTTTATTATTTGTTCAGGAGCCTATAGCCTTGCTCTGTAAACAGGTGTGAACCTGAGGCAACTTCAAACCAGTCACAAGCAATTTGGCAGATTATAAGATTTTTTTCTCTCAATTATAACAGCCTGTGATACAGGCTTGGATGTGGGTGATTCTGTGTTTGAATCTTCCAAACATATTATTAAGTGACACAGTCACAGGGGACAAACTCTTTGTCTGTCCCCACCCCCCTTTAAAATCTAATTCTCCACCCACAAAAAGTCCATTGGCTGATTTAGCAGCTCTGTTGTGTTGGGATGAAAATTTCTCATCATCATTTGCCCTAGTTCATCAGGATCAGTCTATAGCTGGAAGGCTCAACACAGCAGACTCACTTTACAGCTAACAATCCTGTCAGGTATGGAGATATTTTTCATTTGTCTATTGTCATAGATGTAATATGTCCATGCTTCATACCTATGGTATTTTTAGTCAGCTGTTCAATTTTATTCCTGAATTTGTTTCCTGAGTTTTTTTGTTCTCTGAATGAATTTCATCGTTTGTAATATCAATCACATTGATTGTTTTACATCATTAGGATCAGAGGTGAAACCATGAGGGTGCTGGTAGGTGTTGTAGTGTGCACCGTGGTGCTTCTACTGTCCCTAAGGAGCTGTGCTGCAGGTACTGCAATGTTTAACATACATCCGACTGTGCTTAGAAACCCAGTGAGTGGTTTGTCTGTTTGTCTGTCACTTAAGCAATCAAAATTGTGTAAAACAGGAATCTTGACATGCATGGGATTCACCGTAACCTGGTCCCAGATCTGTTTGTGCTCTTACCAATGCTGTTATTGTCTGGCTTTACAGCAAAACATTCTATTTTTAATAACCTCTAATGAGCTGGAGCAGAACATAGCGGATTTGTTTGGTATGACAATGAGTGACAAGGAGTTGGCATCAGGGGCAGACATAGCGATTTGGGGGCCCGTTTCAAAATTCTGTTGAGGGGCCCCCTAACACCCAAAGGAGACATTTACCCCATAAATGTACTGCTTGATTATTATTATCCCACAATTAAAAATGAAACGTATAGGTCCTATAAAGATGGTGAATGAGTGTCTCACTGACATTTGTGTGAAAAATATATAACCAAAATAGTCCAAAATCAGTCAGTGTGGGGACCTTGGGCAGCTGGGGTCCATTTCATCTGAAACCTATGAAACATAGTTAAGTCCACCTATTGTTGGCATGATAACACAAACAGACTGGGACTCAGGCTAAATTCATGTGAAAACATGAGAAAGTGTAAATTGACAGACAGTATCTGTACTTTAGATGATTTTCTTTAGCCGTTTGACCAGTCGTTGCACTTGTGTCCCTGTCTGGTGGCAGTGTGGCAGTGTGACAGTGAATATGCTCATTTTGGTGCCAGACTCTTCATGTCCTCTCTGCTTGACGTGGTATAGTTTCTCAGGCCTTAACGAGTCATAAATGGGGAGACTGTCAGCTGGGCATAGCATCAAAGTGAGGGTTCGCATCCTGTCTGGCACACACACCATACCCCACTCAGATAGAAAAAGAAGAGAGCCAGTTGACACGCTCACAAAAATGGTAATAAATCAATTCAATGCAACAAACAAGGAGCCTTGTGTTTAAGTGTAGCCAAATAGTGACAGGGCCATTGAGAGCTTGTATGTGTGTCATATTTTGAATAGGAGGAGCTGATGTGTGTGTCAGGATCGCCCTATGGCTTTTGATACTCTTTGACTGCCCTCCCACCCCACAGTGCCATTGCTTTGTGATGGCTTGTATTAACTCACTAACTGGTTTATGGCTGTAAATAGATCTTGGGGGTTTTGAACATTTTCAAGAGAGAAAGGAGAGTGGCCAGATCTCTGGGATGCCGGAAACCAGTGGTGATGAGTAAGAAGGCATCAATGCACCCCCACATTCACCTCTCACTATCTGCAAAGGGGTCACTGACTCAGGGTATAATGGCTAAAGATGGCCACAGCACAAAGAGCTCTTTGATTCAGTCTGCTAAATTTGGAAGGCACTCCAATTGCACTCAGAGTGAAAGAAAAACTCAGAGATGTTGAACCAGTGGGACTGGAAAGACGCTTTGGCAATACCTCAATGCCGATGGAGAAGGTCTGCTAAAGCCTGCTGCCGGTTCCCTCTCCTCTGTCTCTTCAATGTGTCAGCATGTATGTTGTTGTCCTCATGTGTATATGCCTTTATTCAATTGGAATGATGTATTGATGCATTGATGCACTTAGAAAGCACTCAAAATGTTCCACTGTTGGAGATGCTGCGAATCCTAATTGATTTAACTAAAGATGTCATTGGACATGTTCAAATACAACTTCATTTGAATGTGGGTGCTCTGAATCAAGAGTACCTCTATATCTCACTAATATCTATTTTTCCCTTATCAGTGCGACCAGACTTGACAATCACTACAATAAAGGTAATTAGATACCTGTTTCTGACACTCTACTTTATTGCCTGAAAGCATTTTTTACTCAAATTCAAATCATTTGCTGCTGTATAAATATGATTAAATTGGAACGGTTCCTTTGTGTCCAATCTTTCAGCAAGATCCATACACAATGTCCAAAGGCTCACAGCTGGAAGGGTACTGCATGGACCTGCTGTCTGAACTGGCCAAGAAACTGGGCTTCAAATACAATGTGCACCTGGTGAAAGATGGGTCCTATGGCAGGCAGGATGAGAGTGGGGCCTGGAATGGGATGATTGGAGAGGTGGTGAGAGGGGTGAGGAAAGCTCACAAGTTCATAGATAAGTGATTACAGTGCAGAAAATCTACTTACACATCTGCTTATGATTGATACTGTACAGATGTGACTATAACCATGTGTGATGTTGTTAATGCAGATAAAAAGCAAATGTATAACATGTGCTAGTCTATAAAATATGAATATATATTCTTATCCCTGTAGGAGGCAGACCTAGCGATTGCTCCTTTGACCCTCACTGCTGCCCGGGAGAAGGCTGTGGGGATGACCAAACCCTTCATGCAGACAGGCATCAGTATTCTCCTGAGGAAAGACATCTCAGTAGAGGCTGGTTTCTTTGACTTCCTGACTCCCTTCTCAGTAGAGACCTGGGTGGGGATCCTCGTTGCATACCTGGGGACTGCTATCTGCATCTGTGTAGTAGCCAGGTGAGTTGTTATTATGATGAAGTTTCATCAGAAAATACATTTATCGTGTGCCTGACAGGAGCCTTTTACAAGTAGAATTTAAAGACTGTTACACAAAACTTTTTCAACACAGACTCAGCCCATGTGAGTGGAGTCAACCCCAGACTGAGAAAAACAGCTTCACTCTCAGCCATAGTCTGTGGTACACCGCTGGAGCCCTCACTCTACAGGGTAACTAACAGGGATTTAACCAGGCATTTCAACCAATAGCTTACCCACACCAGTACAACACAAGAGCTTTATATGGGTCTGTTGTCTGGTGTTCTGATTTAGTATTCTTTTATCTTATTCTCAGGTGCCGGTCCACACCCCAAAGCTTTATCAGGACGCATCATCTGCTGCACCTGGTGGTTGTTTGGTCTGGTCCTCTTGGCCTGCTATTTCTCCAACCTCAGCACCTCTCAGGGCTCAGACTCCAATTCACTGATGGTGAAAGGGTTTGAGGACTTGGCCAACCAGCAAGGGATTGAGTATGGGACCCTGTCTAGCTCCTCTACGCTTGCCTTCTTCAAGGTGAGGCCAGTGCACCCCATCCCCTCCTATACCCCTCTTTTTCCCTTCACTCTTTGCGCTCAAAGGAATTAGGCTCACGTGTCAGTGTCTCAATTCTGTCAGTTCTCTCAGCAGCATACTGACTTTCTCTTCCTCTCTGTCCATGGTTTTTATTTTCCTTGGTGTAGAACTCTAACAACCCAACCTACCGCAGGATCTATGAGCACATGGAAAGAACCAAGAGTTTTGTGTTGTCAATGGATGAGGGTGTTCGCCGGGCAAAGGAGGGCAACTTTGCCTTCATTGGCGAGTCTGTGTCACTGGACTTGGCGGTGGCACGTCACTGTGAGCTGATCCGTGTCCATGAGGTCATCGGCATGAGAGGGTACAGCATCGCAGGCACCCTGGGTGAGCCATGTAGTCTAGGCCGATAGTAAGATCTCATGCAACACATATTGACTGAAACTTCTAAAAACAGTTCCTGTAATCAAAATAGCAAGGCACCCAGATAGTCATGCGATCCAAATATTGGCTTATGGCTGATCTTATGACCATATGACAAGCCAGATAACTTGCAAATTGTACTGTTTGTGTCATCCAGGCTCTCCCATGCTGAAGAACCTGAGTGTGGCCATCCTGCAGCTGAGTGAGGCAGGGGAGTTGGCCTACCTGCGCAGTAAGTGGTGGGCCAGCAGCTGCATGGCAGACCCAGCCAAGGCCTCCCCCCTGCAGCCCCACAGCCTGAAGGGCATGTTCCTGGTGCTGGCCCTGGGGCTGGGGCTGGGGGTGCTGCTGGCTGTCCTGGAGCTCACCGCCAAGTCCCGGAGCAGTGCTGGGGAGCAGAGGGTGAGCTAGTCACTGTTGGTTTAACAGTGGTGCATTGTGTGAATATTTCATATGGATGGATAAGCAGATATCCTGGTCAAGATCTCTCTAAATATCCATACAATTTTCTCCCCACAGAAATCATGTTGCACAGTGTTGTCTGAAGAACTGAGTCAGCGTTTGAGGACCACCACCACCAATGAGAAGAGAAGCGAGGAAACCGCAGACAAAGAAAACGCATGAGGAGACATGATAGTATACGCTAATATATACGGCCTAACAAAGCAAATGTCTCTATGCAGGTCTTGACATGAGTCATGGCCTGTATACTTATTTGAATTTTCAATACTATCTAGCACAGTGAGACAGAGTGTATCAGAAGGGCTTCCAGACTGTTACATGATATATGTTAATTAACAGTGATACATAACATACTGAAGTCAATTAACAATACTACTAAAGTATTATGTTTAAAAATAAATATCTGATAGCAGAGCATTTTACTGAGAAAACCAACACGTATATTTACTGTTACAAAACATGTAATGTGTACTGATTTAGAAATATTTAAGGGAAGTGCAAAAATAGAAATTAAACATGAAGATCCAAGTCAAGTCATCTGTAAATTATGAAAAATCCTCAGTTTCAAAGAGTTTACATTTCAGTACTTTTTTTTACATTTACGTCATTTAGCAGTCGCTCTTATCCAGAGCGACTTACAGTTAGTAAGTGCATACATTATTTTTTATTTTTCATACTGGCCCCCCGTGGGAAATGAACCCACAACCCTGGCGTTGCAAACGCCATGCTCTACCAACTGAGCTACATCCCTGCCGGCCATTCCCTCCCCTACCCTGGACAACGCTGGGCCAATTGTGTGCCGCCCCATGGGTCTCCCGGTCGCGGCCGGCTACGACAGAGCCTGGATTCAAACCAGGATCTCTAGTGGCACAGCTAGCACTGCGATGCAGTGTCTTAGACCACTGCGCCACTCGGGAGGACTTTGGTTCGGAACAAATACTGAGAACAACAGATTACTGCTATTAATTAAATGAAGCAGTACATTTGTTTCAAAGTAGATTAGACATTTACATATTGTAGACACTATGTATACTTAACTGTTTTTGTACAATTGGCAGCACATATTTTGCACATTCCTTTCGAAACGATAAAACCGTTAGTTAATTTTTTAGTTACTATAGAACTCAAAATACATAAAAAAGCATTATGTCATAGAATGATGGTGATGTAATACGGCACATCTTTCAATAAAACCAGTCCAATAATGAACGTATGTTCCATTCTCTTTCATTTAGAACTATTTACCACTTTGGTAATACATTCTATTTACAATACATGCATCTTGATGCAAAATCAAAATACCCACATCAAAAAGTAGGTGATTACCTTATACTAATGAACTTGTTTGGTCTCAAGATGTGGAGATGAAAACTTCGATGCACCTGTAATGATCCTGCTTGTGTAGCTGACAGTACAGACCACGGTGGTACATTTTGTAAATACATTACCATTCAAAAGTTTGGGGTCACTTAGAAATGTCCTTGTTTTCGAAAGAAAATACTTTTTTTGGTCCATTAAAAGAACATCAAATTGATCAGAAATTCAGTGTAGACATTGTTAATGTTGTAAATGGCTATTGTAGCTGGAAACGGCTGATTTTTAATGGAATATCTACATAGGCGTACAGAGGCCCATTATCAGCAACCATCAGTCCTCTATTCTGGTTAGAGCCAGTTTGCGCTGTTCTGTGAAGAAAGTAGTACACAGCGTTGTACGAGATCTTCAGTTTCTTGGCTATTTCTCGAATGGAATACCCTTCATATCTCAGAACAAGAATAGACTGATGAGTTTCAGAAGAAAGTTATTTGTTTCTGGCCATTTTGATTCTGTGATCGAACCCACAATTGCTGATGCTCCAGATACTCAACTAGTCTCAAGAAGGCCAGTTTTATTGCTTCTTTAATCAGCACAACCGTTTTCAGATGTGCTAACATAATTGCATAAGGGTTTTCTAATGATCAATTAGCCTTTTAAAATGATAAACTAGGATTAGCAAACACAACGTGCCATTGGAACACAGGACTGATGGTTGCTGATAATGGGCCTCTGTACGCCTATTAGTACAACATTAACAATGTCTACACTGTATTTCTGATCAATTTGATGTTAATTGGATTTTCTTTCGAAAACAAGGACATTTCTAAGTGAACGGTAGTGTACATCTAGAATCTAGATACATACAAGATAATGCTATATGTTTAGAGTGTATTTCGTACTCCTATGTTTATTCCAAGGCTGCTCACTGCTGTGGTTCTTGTAGTGGCTGATTACTATAACGTGGAGTAATCTGCAAATAAAACACAGCAAATAACATCGTCATTACGATCATTCCAGGTCATCAATCAACATCGATTTTGTACTGTCGAATGATCTGAGCATACAGGTACAGATTACTACTAAACACATACTTTGTGACTCAATCAAAACAAAACATCTTTAAAACTGGCATGCTCTCTAGCTGGGATACAATAAGACAATATAATAAGAGTCACTCTTACCGTCAAAAAAGAGTGGCGATCTACAGCGGATCTCCCTTATCTTCTGGTTGAAGAGGGTGTTCATCCCTCTGCTCACCGACTGGCACGCGGGAGGGCAGGAGCTCCAGACTCAGACTGTCTATACTGCCACCACTGCTGGAGTCACTGTCAGACAGGCAAAGGCCATTGGGTACAGGCTTCACCTGGTGGCCATAGCTGCCATGGTTCTGGGTGCGGTGAGGGGGAGGAGTCTGAGGCTGCCAGTGCACAGCAGCCCTGCGGTTAACCGCCGGGGTTAGTGGCGAGACATGGCTTCCGTGGAACACTGCAAGAGTGGGCCTTTATCCATAATGTACTGGAGGGGAATTGGCTGGCTGGGGTCTCCAGTGTCCGTCTGACTGACAGGGGAGGATGATGGGTGTCGGGTCCGGCTCAGGGTGAGACTGGAACTGGGCCTGGGGCTGGGGCAAGGACTGAGGTTGGGGGTGGAGCTGGGGATGGGGCTGGAGCTGTGTGTGGTGTTGGGGCTGATTCAGATGTTCTGATACAGCCTGGGGTGCAGGTTCACTGATAAAGCCTATCAATGGTTCTCCTTTTCTGTCCTCAATCTCAGGCGGGTCTGGCCACTCAGGCTCAAATGCCTGAGTGGCCAGACCCGCCTGGGTTGTCCTGGCTCGTCCAATCTGCATGGAAAGACTGAGGCTGGTCCTCCAGATCTGGCCAGGCTGCCTGAAACGGCTGCATTTTGCTCTCTGGTTCTGGACTCTGCGGCTGAGACGACTGAAACACATCCTCCAGCTCTGGGCTTGTTGCTGTGATGCAGGGGATGGACGCCCCAGAGTTGGGGATGGTGGAGGATATGCGGACGAGGATGCCCTTCCTTTTCCCCTCCTTTTTCTCCTCCTTCGGAGAGGCACCCTGGATTTCCTCCTCCAGAATTTGCACCCTGTGAGCTCGCTTCAGTGGTTCGCTCTGAGCCCCTCTGTGGAGGTAGTCTATGCCTGCAGGTGTCAGTAACATGCTGCCGTTCCCGCTGCTCTCCTGGGAGTCCAGGTCCTTACATTACCGCTGACGAACGTCCTCTGATGAGTAAGTGGAGAGGTCCATAGAGACGGTCTTTAGCTCCTTGGTTGACCCTGTCTTTGTAGCTTTTTTCAAAAAAACCTTTACAGCATTACTTGATTTAACCTACGTGACAAAAAACAAGACAAGCTGTCATCAACTGTTGAATTCAAGAGAAAGTGAGTTGTGAATTTACTTATATTTAAAGAAAATATAAACCTTACTCTTTAACTACAGTAATACAAGTAAAGTAATACCCAGCCCAGTGTTGACCTTTCCTGTGATGTCATTTACAGCAACATGAACAAAGATGGAGGCCTCCTCCATGCCCTCAAGATATACATTGCGTTAACCTTAAATAAATAAAAATAGATAACGTAAAAATAAACCAGTTATCACATGAATCCAAAATTCACATGCATTTTGTTTTAACAGAGCAATCCATGATGATGGCACACTTGATATGTTGACGATCCAAATGTCTTCTGTCTAATGAAGTAGAGACCTGATTACTCCATTAAATAATATCTCCAGCTGCCTTACCTGGCATCATGCTGACGAAGGCTATGGTCCTCTGTCCAATGAAGGTTTGTCCTATCGGATCATGGTCAAACACCTGGAAATGCACCAGTGCAATCTGTGACATGTGAAGGGTGAAGACCAGGGTCTCCTCCAACATGGGGTTGAACCCTGCAATGGTACAGAGAAAGAAGCAGACGATTAACTTCAATTGCATTTCCATAACATTTGATGTGCTTTTCATTCAACAGAAATGTAATAGAACATGCTTACTTGAATGAACATCTTGTTAAAATAAAACACAGAAAATACAGTTGAAGTCGGGAGTTTACATACACCTTAGCCAAATACATTTAAACTCAGCTTTTCACAATTCCTGACATTTTATCCTAGTAAAAATTCCCTGTCTTAGGTCAGTTAGGATCACCACTTTATTTTAAGAATGTGAAATGTCAGAATAATAGTAGAGAGAATTATTTATTTAAGCTTTTATTTATTTCATCACATTCCCAGTGGGTCAGAAGTTTACATACACTCAATTAGTATTTGGTAGCTTTGCCTTTAAATTGCTTAACTTGGGTCAAACGTTTCGGATAGCCTTCCACAAGCTTCCCACAATAAGTTGGGTGAATTTTGGCCCATTCCTCCTGACAGAGCTGGTGTAACTGACTCAGGTTTGTAGGCCTCCTTGCTCGCACACGCTTTTTCAGTTCTGTCCACACATTTTCTATAGGATTGAGGTCAGGGCTTTGTGATGGCCACTCCAATACCTTGACTTTGTTGTCCTTAAGCTATTTTGCCACAACTTTGGAAGTATGTTTGGGGTCATTGTCCATTTGGAAGACCCATTTGCGACCAAGCTTTAACTTCCTGACTGATGTCTTGAGATGTTGCTTCAATATATCCACATAATCTTCCTTCCTCATGATGCCATCTATTTTGTGAAGTGCATCAGTTCCCCTGCAGCAAAGCACCCCCACAGCATGATGCTGCCACCCCGTGCTTCATGGTTGGGATGGTGTTCTTCGACTTGCAAGCAACCCCCTTTTTCCTCCAAACATAACGATGGTCATCATGGCCAAACAGTTCTATTTTTGTTTCATCAGACCAGAGGACATTTCTCCAAAAAGTACGATCTTTGTCCCCATGTGCAGTTGCAAATCAGTTTTGGAGCAGTGGCTTCTTCATTGCTGAGCGGCCTTTCAGGTTATTTCGATATAGGACTTGTTTTACTGTGGATATAGATACTTTTGTACCTGTTTCCTCCAGCATCTTCACAAGGTCCTTTGCTGTTGTTCAGGGATTGATTTGCACTTGTCGCACTAAAGTACGTTCATCTCTAGGAGACAGAACGCGTCTCCTTCCTGAGCAGTATGACGGCTGCGTGTTCCCATGGTGTTTATACTTGCGTACTATTGTTTGTACAGATGAACGTGGTACCTTCAGGCGTTTGGAAATTGCTCCCAAGGATGAACCAGACTTGTGGAGGTCTACAAATTTTTTTTTGAGGTCTTGGCTGATTTCTTTTGATTTTCCCATGATGTCAAGCAAAGAGGCACTGAGTTTGAAGGTAGGCCTTGAAATACATCCACAGGTACACCTCCAATTGACTCAAATGATGTCAATTAGCCTATCAGAAGCTTCTAAAGCCACTTTCTGGAATTTTCCAAGCTGTTTAAAGGCACAGTCAACTTAGTGTATGTAAACTTCTGACCCACTGGAATTGTGATACTGTGAATTATAAGTGAAATAATCTGTCTGTAAACAATTGTTGGAAAAATTACTTGTGTCATGCACAAAGTAGATGTCCTAACCGACTTGCCAAAACTATAGTTTGTTAACAAGAAATTTGTGGAGTGGTTGAAAAACGAGTTTTAATGACTCCAACCTAAATGTATGTAAACTTCAGACTTCAACTGTAAATAGCTGTAGAGATAGATCCCTTTCCTGCAGTCAAATGACATAGTGGCCTCATGGGTGGAATGTTATTAATATTTGTCATAATTTCATAATTAAAAAAAGTTGTTTGAAATCCAGTGTTTCAAACAGTTTTATTATACATTATTTCAGTTTTATGTTATGTATATAAAGTGTAATATTGGGATACACACTTAAAATTGAATACTTTTCAACTATAGCTGACATGGTACAGGTGTCTTCTTTTTTTAAGCCCTTAACCATGTGTGTGAGGTGTATACTTTTGTTTCAAAGCAGAGTTGTTTAAGACTACCAAGAAACACTGTGTGACCCTGATTTAGCCCACTGCAGTAAAAGGTTGGTCAAGTCAATGCTCACCATTATCGACCACCACCCTTGTCTGCTGCTTACAGCAACAATAGGCAGACCGACGATCTCCACCTCTACAAAAGGATCAATAATCTACAACAACAACAACAACGAAGAAACATCTTCACATACAACACACAAGTGACAAGACTAAATGCCTTGTAGTCTCCTCACATACAAGAGGTCAATTGAGGTTGTAAGATATGTCTCACCTCCCCTCTATCCCCCAGCATTGAGTCTTTAGGCTTTGGCAGCTGCTGCCCACTGATGATCTTCAGCACCAGCTGAGTCTTCTTTTGTCCTGGCAGAGGGTCCTCCAGCCTAGGGTTAAAGAAACCTGAGCAACACAGAGGGTAACATTCAGCCAGCAAACTCTTAGTCCAAGAATCAACTGCTGTATATTTATAGTGTTAAACTGGTCATATACTTTAAGGACAATTATAAACTGGGTGGTTCGAGCCCTGAATGCTGATTGGCTGAAAGCCGTGCTACATCAGACCGTATACTATGGGTATGACAAAAACATTTGTTTTACTGTTCTAATTACGTTGGTAACCAGTTTATTATAGAAATAAGGCACCTCGGGGGTTTGTGGTGTATGGCCAATATACCACGGCTAAGGGCTGTATCTAGGCACTCCGCTTTACATTATGCCTAAGAACAGTCCTTAGACGTGGTATATTGGCCATATACCACACCTCCTCATGCCTTATTGTGTAACTATATGGCCTCAACTATACAGCTAGTGGCAGCTACCTGTGTTTTCTAATAGTACCCAACCTTTATTCATGCACCTGGGCTTCAGTAAGTAGCCACAGTTGCCATTTGTTGAAAACTTGGCTCTGTTCAGTTCAAGCATGCGTCCCTCTGTTTGGTAATTCAGTGCAACTGAAAAGATAAGATAAGATAAACCACAGGAAATACATTTTGGAGTATGAACACGGCAGTAGGTTTAGATGTTTGCCTCTAAATTGCCTTGTTGAATGCATGCAAAAAGCAAAGCACTTTTAAGGTATTGTATGAGCAGGGTCTCTTATCCATATGGCATCCTGTGTTCCAGAAGGGTGGTTGAAGTTGCTGGAGTCCACACGGTAGTTGGATGGGGTAAACACGAATCAGCTGTCTCTGGTTGAAGCGCACCAAATTAACTGGCTTCAGCGCCATGATCTGGTTCACAATGCTCTCATTGAGGGAAGACACTAGCCAACTGGTCATATACACTGCCAACCAGAAAACACATACGTGCAGGTTCACACACACTGACAACCAAGAGGTAGAATGACTCCCATGCTGGAAGAACTTGTGATATTGCTGTGCATGTTGAATGAGGCAGAAATGATTTTGTCTGAATATGGATACTCCTCCCCACTTTGTGTTTCAATGTCATGGACCTGGACAGCCTTGGTGTAGTTGACGAGGTCAGACAGGGCTCGGGATAACCTCATCGTCTTCCCTTTCCTGAGGGCCATAGGGCATATTGGCCCTCAGGAAAGAGAAGATGATGAGGTTATCCCGTGCCCTGTCTGACCTCGTCAACTACACCAAGGCTGGGCAGACATAGCTGGATGCAACGGTCAATCTAACACACCAGTTTCAATGTTAAAGTAAATGGTTTGATAACAGTATGTCACGTTCGATTGGCTTTACTGTGGTACACAATTTGTGTTTTGTCTCTCATGATGGGGTTCTCCTGGTCCGCATCGTCTAAATGGAGCATTAGATTCTTTTTCTTCTTCTTTGTCCTCTAAATACAAGATATGAACAGTCAGCGTTTAGTGCAACAAGGGTCTTCCAGAAGGCGACATTTCTATTATAACCAGAACATGGATAGACGTTAGAGCAGTAGAACATGTCTCTCAAAGCGATGCATTGCACTGCCAGGGAATCACACAGGAGAGCAAATGTAGGCTGTAGGGGTTTTGTACCTGTGGACTATATGTAAGAAAGGTGCTATCTTCTCCCCTAAGGTACACTATATGCTATTTTAAGGTACGAACTGCAACGGTACAATTATGTACCTGTAACTAATGGTACAATGGACGCACCTTACAGGGTACCACTATAGTGACAAGCGTTTGTACCCCTTTAACTACAATTCTGTACGTTTTTTTCTGAGTGTGTATGATGATAATGACTACATTCACACACTAGTGTTAGTAAAGGTGGGTGGTGAAGGGAGTTTGTGATTTGCATTTATGCTGGTGAGGAAAGTCTAATTTGCATGCTGGAGGGAATGGTGAAGAGGAGAGATGTTAATTTGCATAAACATGATTGGAAAGCGTGGTGTGGTGAAGCGAAGACCGGGTGGAGAGGGAGGGAGGGAGTTGTATGAGAGAATCAGCTGACCTTGCGTCTGAAGCTGCCCATGATAGACCTGTGTTTCTTGGGTTTGGACTCATCTGCAGTACCAGCAGCGTTGCCCTGAAATAGTAAAACATATTCCAGATTCTAGATTGCCTGACGACTCAAACTGAATTATTCTGCTGTTAGCTACATACTTCAGTCTGAGACTGCCATCGTTAATGTTGTTTGTGGTGACGTCAAAATGGGCTGTTGTACAAAACAAAGTCATCAGCGATTGGACCATCTCTAACCAGTCAGAGTATCAAAGCCAATGGCACATTTTCAAAATGCCGCTTTACCTAAGTATGTTCTGGCTCTGGGACCAATCAGAACAGTTAAAATGGGTTTGCATTCTAGAAATCATCTGGGAGGTAATCAGATCCAGACTCATGGCGGAGAAGAAACTAACGTCTGTGGGCGTGGTGGAGCGTTTGGCCGGAGCAAGGAGTTTGGGTAGCCAGGCAAGACTCTAGACTCCCTGCAGACACAATCAATCAGCCACCAGCTATCTCACTGTGGGATGATGGATTACCCAATGGCTTCGGCATCATCTTATGACAGAGCACCTGATAATATCATGAGGTATAAGATATAGCCCCCCACTCCCCGCCTGTCCCCGCCAGATCCCTCCCATCCACTGCAAAACAGCCATGAACTGAAAAAGTTTCAGACATCCGCTAGGCTTACGGTAATGAGACACTCAATGATGCCTCACATTGGGCTATTATGCCACCTAGAGGGGCTTTAGAAACATAACAAATGTCCTGGGATATTTTTACTCAAAACATTGATATTTTGCCCTTAGTCTATTTTAGCCTAAACAGTAGTAATGGTCTTACATCTGTGTTTATCTGGTTGTCATCTTCATCCTCCTCCTCCTCCTCTTCCTCACTGTCTTCTTCCGACACATCCCCCTCCTCTGCATCATCGTCAATGTTAGCTGGGAGCTTCTTTCCCTGATGAATAACAAACAGTCTGTTTACTACCTTATTATTTCAACAGAAGGTGTTCAGTAATGTTGTGTTTATTTGGGTAACGTTTCATGATTTGGAAATTGTCGCTATGAAAATGACTGAGTGCTTCCATTGGTTGAACAACAAATTGACAAAGAAAAGACTGCTCTACCTTGACTAGAACTTTCCCTTTCCGGAGCTCCGGGGAGGGCAGCTTTCTGAATTCATTCATATTGACTGTAGACAGGTCCACCTTGTCCTGGAGCACCTCCATCAGATACTCAGCCATTTTCTTCTGCTGGGGCACTGTGCAATGGTTCTCTATGGATAGGATCACTGGGTACCTGGGGATATATGACACAACCATAGAGATAGATAGAGGACTCTAGTGCCCAAAAGCACGTTTTAGCATGCAGCGCCATTGAGGACTTTCACAATTTTTAAGTAGTCAACTGGGAGGGACTTCCTATGGGTTAAAGAAGGATCACATAATTCCATCCAGGTCATCAGGAGGGATCAGCCAATGAATTATGTATGGGAAAAAAAAGAACATGTATGCACTCACTAACTGTAAGTCGCTCTGGATAAGAGCGTCTGCTAAATGACTAAAATGTAAAATGTAAATGTAATTGTACTTTTAAGCAAACATTCCACAACTGCAGGTGGCAGTAAATCGCAAACCTTGGCTTTATACAGTGAGGGAAAAAAGTATTTGATCCCCTGATGATTTTGTACGTTTGCCCACTGACAAAGAAATTATCAGTCTATAATTTTAATGGTAGCTTTATTTGAAAAGTGAGAGACAGAATAACAACAAAAAAATCCAGAAAAAGGCATGTCAAAAATGTTATAAATTGATTTGCATTTTATTGAGGGAAATAAGTATTTGACCCCCTCTCAATCAGAAAGATTTCTGGCTCCCAGGTGTCTTTTATACAGGTAACGAGCTGAGATTAGGAGCACACTCTTAAAGGGAGTGCTCCTAATCTCAGTTTGTTACCTGTATAAAAGACACCTGTCCACAGAAGCAATCAATCAATCAGATTCCAAACTCTCCACCATGGCCAAGACCAAAGAGCTCTCTAAGGATGTCAGGGACAAGATTGTAGACCTACACAAGGCTGGAATGGGCTACAAGACCATCGCCAACCAGCTTGGTGAGAAGGTGACAACAGTTGGTGCGATTATTCGCAAATGGAAGAAAGACAAAAGAACTGTCAATCTCAAACGGCCTGGGGCCATGCAAGATCTCACCTCGTGGAGTTGCAATGATCATGAGAACGGTGAGGAATCAGCCCAGAACTACATGGGAGGATCTTGTCAATGATCTCAAGGCAGCTGGGATCATAGTCATGAAGAAAACAATTGGTAACACACTATGCCGTGAAGGACTGAAATCCTGCAGCGCCCGCTAGGTCCCCCTGCTCAAGAAAGCACATATACAGGGCCGTCTGAAGTTTGCCAATGAACATCTGAATGATTCAGAGGAAAACTGGGTGAAAGTGTTGTGGTCAGATGAGACCAAAATCGAGCTCTTTGGCATCAACTCAACTCACCGTGTTTGGAGGCGGAGGAATGCTGCCTATGACCCCAAGAACACCATCCCCACCGTCAAACATGGAGGTGGAAGCATTATGCTTTGGGGGTGTTTTTCTGCTAAGGGGACAGGACAACTTCACCGCATCAAAGGGACGATGGATGGGGCCATGTACCGTCAAATCTTGGGTGAGAACCTCCTTCCCTCAGCCAGGGCATTGAAAATGGGTCGTGGATGGGTATTCCAGCATGACAATGACCCAAAACACACGGCCAAGGCAACAAAGGAGTGGCTCAAGAAGAAGCACATTAAGGTCCTGGAGTGGCCTAGCCAGTCTCCAGACCTTAATCCCCATAGAAAATCTGTGGAGGGAGCTGAAGGTTCGAGTTGCCAAACGTCAGCCTTGAAACCTTAATGACTTGGAGAAGATCTGCAAAGAGTAGTGGAACAAAATCCCTCCTGAGATGTGTCCAAACCTGGTGGCCAACTACAAGAAACGTCTGACCTCTGTGATTGCCAACAAGGGTTTTGCCACCAAGTACTAAGTCATGTTTTGCAGAGGGGTCAAATACTTATTTCCCTCATTAAAATGCAAATCAATTTATAACAATTTTGACATGCATTTTTCTGGATGTTTTTGTTGTTATTCTGTCTCTCACTGTTCAAATAAACCTACCATTAAAATTATAGACTGATCATGTCTTTGTCAGTGGGCAAATGTACAATATCATCAGGGGATCAAATACTTTTTTCCCTCACTGTACCTGTTCAAACGACACACTCCAGGTGGCAGTATGCACCCATTCAGTTTGTTTACCAACTCATAGAAGTAGTAGAAGAAATGGACTACTTCAAAATGTAGATGGCCTCAATGGCACTCCCTGTACTCTCACAGACTGCAGAATGAGACGGATACAATGTTGCATCCTCTAACTATCTCCATGGGCACAACATATTGGAAAATACAGTGAGTTGCCCATGAACGGTTTGCTATCGCTATCTATACCTGGGCAGGATATGGTGACAAAATGAAGGTACTTACTGATTCCTTGTAAAGGCATATTTGTTAATGGTTTCAATGACGTCTTTGAAGAGGATCTTGGATGTCAGGGTGTAGCCATGATGAATAGTAGGTTCCCCGTCTGGTCCATCCCAGCAGTCCACTGAGAGACACAGAGAAAGAGTGAGTTAGTGATCAAGTGAGTGATCGAGTGAGTGATGACGGTGGTAAGTACTGATAGGAGAACAGCACTGAAATGTTTTGGGTAGGGAGGCAGTTAAAGGGTCAGGATAGTGTCTAAGCTCACCTTCCACACAGCGACAGCCAGCCTGGAGCACGAAACAAAACTGTGTTTGACATGAGGAGTTAAGATAGACAGAAGACAGGTAATGCAATGGAACCCACTGCAAACAAAGTGCCTCAGCATTGATTACTGGAGCATAGTGCTGAACACATACATTTTTACATCCACAGCCATCTGTTCTGTTCAGCGGTGGCCATATGCCCTGGTCTTCCTCTAGCATGCTCCTCCTGTACAGCAACCAACCTGCGCTCTCTCAAGTTACGGCTAGGAAACCCTGACACACGACAACACATCCATCATACTGGCTCCAAGCTAGGATTGGAGATCAAGTTGTCAGGCCATGATCTTTGACCCATAAAACCCATTTGGAAGAGTCTTGTCACAGTAAAACCCTGTTGCTGACTTTTACAGTAGCCTAGGGCAGCGGTTCCCAACCTGTGTTCCGGCGGGGGTATCAGTCATTTTTAGTTGTTATTGTATTTTATAATATTTTAAATAATGCTTTTCTTTAAAATATAATATTACAGTTGGGAGTATAAATGGTATCATAAGCAATTTTGCATTACTTTTCACAATGCAAATTGTTTATAATAATAATAATAATAATAATAATAATAATAATATGCCTTCAATCTGTTAGATTCACTGTGAAAACTGACTCTAAATTTACCAGCCAGGATATTTTATATAAAGAAATTAGGTGACTCTAAAATGGTGGTTCTCAAGAGTTATGACAGTGATTTGGTGGGGAACCGCTGGTGGTTAAGCCCTCTTCTCTTTCAGACAGAACTATGGGATAGCTATAAACGACACGGTACATTGTGTGACAAACCATGGAAGGAAACCTGAAATGCAAGCTCTTCCAAACTAGTTTATAATTGATGCTTGGTTTTGTTTTATATATGTTTATCCACATGATAAATATAATGACCTTCTGTAAAACTACTGTATTGTAAAATATGACAATTTCTTGTTATTGTATTTTAAGATGTAATGAGAAACATGAGAAACATTGAGATACAAGAATAATAAGTTGACTGCGTACTCACTCAAACCGTTAGACACGGACACGAATGATCTGCTTGGCGTGTTGACACACTGGTGGTTTGTTGTAACCGAGTATTGGTGCTAAACCGTGTTATTGGAGGCTGGCATGCTAGTTGGCTTTGGCGTCATAGGATTCGGTGTACCAAGTTAGCTAGCTGAATAAACTAAGTTAGAGTCTATTCCTAGAAACATTGAACTGCTGTAGTTTACAACAATTATAATTTCTAAAGTGGAAGTTGGGAGAGTTATATTTGAGTGTTTCAGTGAAACGTAAGTGAAGGAGGCCCCCCTCTCTCGCTTTCCCAGATGTTTAGTTCATTTCATTCAGATCTCCTTTACATTATTGTAGCCTTTCTCTGTAGCCTGTCAACTATGTGTCTGTCTATCCCTGTTCTCTCCTCTCTGCACAGGCCATACAAACGCTTCACACCACGTGGCTGTTGCCACTCTAATCTGGTGGTCCCTGCGCGCACGACCCACGTGGAGTTCCAGGTCTCTGGCAGCCTCTGGAACTGCCGTTCTGCGGCCAACAAGGCAGAGTTCATCTCAGCCTATGCTACCCTCCAGTCCCTCGACTTCTTGGCGCTGACGGAAACATGGAATATCACAGAAAACACTGCTACTCCTACTGCTCTTTCCTCGTCTAACCATGTGTTCTAGCATACCCCGAGAGCATCTGGTCAGCGCGGCGGTGGCACAGGAATCCTCATCTCTCCCAAGTGGACATTCTCTATTTTTCCCCTGACCCATCTGTCTATCTCCTCATTGAATTCCATGCTGTCACAGTCACTAGCCCATTCAAGCTTAACATCCTTGTCATTTATCGCCCTCCAGGTTACCTTGAAGAGTTCATCAATGAGCTTGACGCCTTGATAAGTTCCTTTCCTGAGGATGGCTCACCCCTCACAGTTCTGGGTGACTTTAACCTCCCTACGTCTGCCTTTGACTAATTTCTCTCTGCCTCCTTCTTTCCACTCCTTTCCTCTTTTGACCTCACCCTCTCACCGTCTCCCCCTACTCACAAGGCAGGCAATACGCTTGACCTCATCTTTACTAGATGCTGTTCTTCTACTAATCTCACTGCAACTCCCCTCCATGTCTCCGACCACTACTTTGTATCCTTTTCTCTCTCGCTCTCCTCCAACACTACTCACTCTGCCCCTACTCAGATGGTAATGTGCCGTCGCAACCTTCGCTCTCTCTCTCCCACTACTCTCTCCTCTTCCATCCTATCATCTCTTCCCTCTGCTAAATCCTTCTCCCTCCGGTCTCCTGATTCTGCCTCCTCAACCCTCCTCTCCTCCCTTTCTGCATCTTTTGACTCTCTATGTCCCCTATCCTCCCGGCCGGCTCGGTCCTCCCCTCCTGCTCCGTGGCTTGACGACTCATTGCGAGCTCACAGAAGAGGGCTCCGGGCAGCCGAGCGGAAATGGAGGAAAACTAAACTCCCTGCGGACCTGTCATCTTTTCACTCCCTCCTCTCTACATTCTCTTCCTCTGTTTCCGCTGCTAAAGCCACTTTCTACCACTCTAAATGTTAAGCCTCTGCCTCTAACCCTAGGAAGCTCTTTGCCACCTTCTCCTCCCTGCTGAATCCTCCTCCTCCTCCCCCTCCCTCCTCCCTCTCTGTGGATGACATCCGATCCTCATTTATTAAGTCAAATGACACCGCTGGTCCTGCTCACACTGCCCTACCCTATGCTTTGACTTCTTTCTCCCCTCTCTCTCCAGATGAAATCTTGCGACTTGTGACGGCCGGCCGCCCAACAACCTGCCCGCTTGACCCTATCCCCTACTCTCTTCTCCAGACCATTTCCGGAGACCTTCTCCCTTACCTCACCTCGCTCATCAACTCATCCTTGACCGCTGGCCATGTCCCTTCCGTCTTCAAGAGAGCGAGAGTTGCACCCCTCCTCAAAAAACCTACACTCGATCCCTCCGATGTCAACAACTACAGACCAGTATCCCTTCTTTCTTTTCTCTCCAAAATTCTTGAGTGTGGCGTCTCTAGCCAACTCTCCTGCTATCTCTCTCAGAATCACCTTCTTGATCCAAACCAGTCAGGTTTCAAGACTGGTCATTCAACTGAGACTGCTCTTCTCTGTGTCACGGAGGCTCTCCGCACTTCTAAAGCTAACTCTCTCTCCTCTGCTCTTATCCTTCTAGACCTATCCGCTGCCTTTGATACTGTGAACCATCAGATCCTCCTCTCCACCCTCTCCGAGTTGGGCATCTCCGGCGCTGCTCACTCTTGGATTGCGTCCTACCTGACAGGTTGGCTGGGCTCCCTGCCTTTGCCATTAAACCCCTACAACTTATCCAGAACGTTGCAGCCCATCTGGTGTTCGACCTTCCCAAGTTCTCTCATGTCACCCCGCTCTTCCGCACACTCCACTGGCTTCCAGTTGAGGTTCGCATCTACTACAAGACCATGGTGCTTGCCTACGGAGCTGTGAGGGGAATGGCACCTCCTTACCTTCAGGCTCTGATCCTACACCCAAACGAGGGCACTACGTTCATCCACCTCTGGCCTGCTAGCTCCCCTACCTCTACAGAAGCACAGTTCCCGCTCAGCCCAGTAAAAGCTATTTGCTGCTCTGGCACCCCAATGGTGGAACAAGCTCCCCCACGACGCCAGGACAGCGGAGTCACTGACCACCTTCTGGAGACACTTGAAACCCTACCTCTTTAAAGAATACCTGGAATAGTATATAGTCATCCTTCTACCCCCCCCCCCCCCCCTCCCCACCCTCCCCATAAAAAAAGAAGAAAAAAAGTGGTTGTCCCACTTGCTATCATAAGTTGAATGCACCAATTTGTAAGTTGCTCTGGATAAGAGTGTCTGCTAAATGGTGTAAATGTAAATGTAAGAACATGAAAATGTTCTCGTGAGTTCAACTCCAGATCTTGGATCATCTGAAAATGATCTTACTTTAAACATCTCTCTGACTTTCTGCCTGGGCAGGTTCACGTTGAGTTTGTGGAGCTGCTGAAGAACCTCTCCATTACCGTCCCCGTTTTGGTCTGCCTCTGAGAAGGTCTGCTGTAATCATATGGAATAAGAGTTAAGGATGAGACACGGAGACCAGTGACCAATTACATAAAGACATTACTTTTAGTGTGTACAGTGAGGGAAAAAAAGTATTTGATCCCCTGCTGATTTTGTGCGTTTGCCCACTGACAAAGAAATGATCAGTCTATAATTTTAATGGTAGGTGTATTTGAACAGTGAGAGACAGAATAACATCAAAAAAATCCAGAAAAACGCATGTCGAAAATGTTATATATTGATTTGCATTTTTATGAGGGAAATAAGTATTTGACCCCCTCTCAATCAGAAAGATTTCTGGATCCCAGGTGTCTTTTATACAGGTAACGAGCTGAGATTAGGAGCACACTCTTAAAGGGAGTGCTCCTAATCTCAGCTTGTTAGCTGTATAAAAGACACCTGTCCACAGAAGCAATCAATCAATCAGATTCCAAACTCTCCACCATGGCCAAGACCAAAGAGCTCTCCAAGGATGTCAGGGACAAGATTGTAGACCTACACAAGGCTGGAATGGGCTACAAGTCCATCGCCAAGCAGCTTGGTGAGAAGGTGACAACAATTGGTGACAACAATTATTCGCAAATGGAAGAAACACAAAAGAACTGTCAATCTCCCGGCCTGGGGCTCCATGCAAGATCTCACCTCGTGGAGTTGCAATGATCATGAGAACGGTGAGGAATCAGCCCAGAACTACACGGGAGGATCTTGTCAATGATCTCAAGGCAGCGGGACCATAGTCACCAAGAAAACAATTGGTAGCACACTTCGCCATGAAGGACTGAAATCCTGCAGCGCCCACTCAAGGTCAAGAAAGCACATATACAGGCCCGTCTGAAGTTTGCCAATGAACATCTGAATTATTCAGAGGAGAACTGGGTGAAAGTGTTGTGGTCAGATGAGACCAAAATCGAGCTCTTTGGCATCAACTCAACTCGCCGTGTTTGGAGGAGGAGGAATGCTGCCTATAACCCCAAGAACACCATCCCCACCGTCAAACATGGAGGTGGAAACATTATGCTTTGGGGGTGTTTTTCTGCTAAGGGGACAGGACAACTTCCCCGCATCAAAGGGACGATGGACGGGGCCATGTACCGTCAAATCTTGGGTGAGAACCTCCTTCCCTCAGCCAGGGCATTGAAAATGGGTCGTGGATGGGTATTCCAGCATGACAATGACCCAAAACACACGGCCAAGGCAACAAAGGAGTGGCTCAAGAAGAAGCACATTAAGGTCCTGGAGTGGCCTAGCCAGTCTCCAGACCTTAATGCCATAGAAAATCTGTGGAGGGAGCTGAAGGTTCGAGTTGCCAAACGTCGGCCTCGAAACCTTAATGACTTGGAGAAGATCTGCAAAGAGGAGTGGGACAAAATCCCTCCTGAGATGTGTGCAAACCTGGTGGCCAACTACAAGAAACGTCTGACCTCTGTGATTGCCAACAAGGGTTTTGCCACCAAGTACTAAGTCATGTTTTGCAGAGGGGTCAAATACTTATTTCCCTCATTAAAATGTAAATCAATTTATAACATATTTGACATGCGTTTTTCTGGATTGTTTTGTTGTTATTCTGTCTCTCACTGTTCAAATAAACCTACCATTAAAATTATAGACTGATCATGTCTTTGTCAGTGGGCAAACGTACAAAATCAGCAGGGGATCAAATACTTTTCCCCCTCACTGTATCAAAATGCATCCTATGTGACATGACATCCCTGGAATTACATGTGTTGCTACTCATGATTTTACACAAACGTTAAAAATGATCCTATCCTAATCTAATCAAATACCCACAGGCTGATGATATTCAGGTCCTATTCTATTAGTCAAATGGGTGTGTTATATGCTCTTTTAGGCGGGTCCATAGTCTATATTCACCAATCGGTCATGAGGCCACAGGTGCCCTATGAGTGACATGCTCCACAGTGACAGAGTAAAGGATATTGGTCCCTTTTGCGTTGTCTCTTCGCCAGACTGTCCTCGTCACTGATGCCAGCCTTGACGTATTTCAGGCCAGTAATCCAGGTGTGGGCCTCATCTCCGTTAGCGGAGACCAGGTCAAGAGACTCCACGTGGTCGCCATGGTAAATACTGAAGCAGCAGTTGGGGTCAAAGCGGCTGTCGGCAAAGCGCTGGAAGATCTCAGACCTCTTCCTGTCACACACCTCATGGATGGAGTCAATGGTTACTTGGGAGTGGGGAGAAACAACATTAAAATGAATGGGAATTAAATCCAGGTCGTTATTGTAAAATAGAATGTGTTCTCAATGACTTAGCTGGTTAAATAAAGGTAAATAAAATAATAAAAAATAATCCAGCAGTAAATTAGCTGTAAAACCTACAGTGGGGGAAAAAAAGTATTTAGTCAGCCACCAATTGTGCAAGTTCTCCCACTTAAAAAGATGAGAGAGGCCTGTAATTTTCATCATAGGTACACGTCAACTATGACAGACAAATTGAGATTTTTTCTCTCCAGAAATTCACATTGTAGGATTTTTTATGAATTTATTTGCAAATTATGGTGGAAAATAAGTATTTGGTCACCTACAAACAAGCAAGATTTCTGGCTCTCACAGACCTGTAACTTCTTCTTTAAGAGGCTCCTCTGTCCTCCACTCGTTACCTGTATTAATGGCACCTGTTTGAACTTGTTATCAGTATAAAAGACACCTGTCCACAACCTCAAACAGTCACACCCCAAACTCCACTATGGCCAAGACCAAAGAGCTGTCAAAGGACACCAAAAACAAAATTGTAGACCTGCACCAGGCTGGGAAGACTGAATCTGCAATAGGTAAGCAGCTTGGTTTGAAGAAATCAACTGTGGGAGCAATTATTAGGAAATGGAAGACATACAAGACCACTGATAATCTCCCTCGATCTGGGGCTCCACGCAAGATCTTACCCCGTGGGGGCAAAATGATCACAAGAACGGTGAGCAAAAATCCCAGAACCACACGGGGGGACCTAGTGAATGACCTGCAGAGAGCTGGGACCAAAGTAACAAAGCCTACCATCAGTAACACACTACGCCGCCAGGGAACTCAAATCCTGCAGTGCCAGACGTGTCCCCCTGCTTAAGCCAGTACATGTCCAGGCCTGTCTGAAGTTTGCTAGAGTGCATTTGGATGATCCAGAAGAGGATTGGGAGAATGTCATATGGTCAGATGAAACCAAAATATAACTTTTTGGTAAAAACTCAACTCGTCGTGTTTGGAGGACAAAGAATGCTGAGTTGCATCCAAAGAACACCATACCTACTGTGAAGCATGGGGGTGGAAACATCATGCTTTGGGGCTGTTTTTCTGCAAAGGGACCAGGACGACTGATCCGTGTAAAGGAAAGAATGAATGGGGCCATGTATCGTGAGATTTTGAGTGAAAACCTCCTTCCATCAGCAAGGGCATTGAAGATGAAACGTGGCTGGGTCTTTCAGCATGACAATGATCCCAAACACACCGCCCGGGCAACAAAGGAGTGGCTTCGTAAGAATCATTTCAAGGTCCTGGAGTGGCCTAGCCAGTCTCCAGATCTCAACCCCATAGAAAATCTTTGGAGGGAGTTGAAAGTCCGTGTTGCCCAGCGACAGCCCCAAAACATCACTGCTCTAGAGGAGATCTGCATGGAGGAATGGGCCAAAATACCAGCAACAGTGTGTGAAAACCTTGTGAAGACTTACAGAAAACGTTTGACCTGTGTCATTGCCAACAAAGGGTATATAACAAAGTATTGAGAAACTTTTGTTATTGACCAAATACTTATTTTCCACCATAATTTGCAAATAAATTCATTAAAAATCCTACACTGTGATTTTCTGGATTTTTTTCCTCATTTTGTCTGTCATAGTTGACGTGTACCTATGATGAAAATTACAGGCCTCTCTCATCTTTTTAAGTGGGAGAACTTGCACAATTGGTGGCTGACTAAATACTTTTTTCCCCCACTGTATTTCATCAACCCGGACTCAGGGATAGATGTAACATAGTAAACAAAAATCTGGGACACTCAAATTACATTTGGTATGGTACGTATTAATTTGTGGATGTCCTTCATCCATTTCGTATGATATGTTATGAATTACAACTCATAGGATATGCTACAAATTTCAATTCGTACAATATGTTACGAATTTGCAATAGGTATGATATATTGCGAATTCCAATTTGTTGTGCTAACGTTAGCTAGGTGGCTAACACTAACATTAACTAGGTGGCTAACGTTAGCGAGGCTAGGGGTTAGGGTCAGGGGTTAAGGTTAGGGTTAAGGTTAAGGTCAGGATTTAGGTTAAACGGTTAAGGTTAGGGTTCGGGAAAGGGTTGCAAAGTAGCTAAAAAGTAGTAAGTAGTTGCATAGTTGCTAATTATCTAAAATGCTAAAGTTGTCAGTGATGAGATTCGAACACGCAACCCGTAATATACGCATACCCATCCACCCCAACCAACACACCCTCCTTTAATTTCTGCCTTAACTAACCTTCTGTCTTATGTAACCATACCATATGTAACATATCATACTAGTCTAGTCTATATGAGTAATTAGGTGGTAGCTAATACACATGCAGTATTGTCATTTGCACATTGTGTTCGAATATCAAATGGAATAGGACTGGTAAACAGTTGAATGTAGACAAAGTGGAAATACAAGAGTATTCCTCAAAGTACTAGTCTGAAACCCTATCTGAAACATTCCTTGTGTGTCTCACTTTTAGCCTTATCGTGCTTCCTGGAGGGCCTCCAGCAGATGCAGGACTTGTGTTCATCCAGGTAGAAGAACCTGGCTAGACCCTTTTTCTTCCCTTTCAGTTTGGTCATCTGGGTGCCAGTCTGCATGGTGCACATTCACATCTCCACTGCAGACACGCCACAGAGAGGGAGGAGCACACACAGGGTTAACATCAGATGGCCTTTGTGCTCATACAGTACAGAGCTTTCTGTCCCTGTACTGTACTTGTGTGCCCTAAAAGAATAGCATTTCGGCCCACCCTTACAAAAAAAACACATCGCATTTTCACGTGAAATAGCTGTTTTCACATGTTGAGCTTAAATTTCACGTGAAACCATATTTTCACATGTATTCAATTTAGAGTTCACATGTTAACCCCACCCTTTCACATGTGAAAATAAAAACTTGTTTTCACCTTATGTGAATAGCAGTTTCACGTGAAAAACTTTATCATGTGAAATTGCATTTTCACATGTTACAAACAATCACATGTAAAAATCACATTTGCAGTTTCACATGTAAGAAAACTCTACATGTGAAAATCTCACTTTCACATGTGGAATTGCAAGTTCCCATGTGAAAAACAATCAAGTTCACATGTGGTGGTGAAATAATGTTATTGTAGCGGGTGATGTTGGACGGAGTCAGACGCAGGAGAGTAAATAACGGAATAAACGGTTTAATCAATAAACAGAGGTACGCAGCAATGCGTAATGCACACCAGTGCGGACAAACGGCGCACTGGGGAAAATAAGGCACACGGGTGAAATAACCCAGAGATACACAATGTAATCGAGCTCCACCAAGCTATCATCTCCTCTACAATAAACAATCACACACAAAGACCAGGGGGCAGAGGGAACACTTATACAGGTACTGATGAGGGGATATGAACCAGGTGTGTGTAATAAACAAGACAAAACAAATGGAATGAAGATATGAGGAGCGGCAGTGGCTAGAATGCCGGTGACGACGAACGCCAAAGCCTGCCCGAACAAGGAGAGGAGGCAGCTTTGGAGGAAGTCGTGACAGTTATTCTCCTCACATGTGAAAAGGTGGTGGAATTGCAAATTCTGTAACGCCATTCAGTAAAAAGGTAACTTAAACGCCATTCTGTAAAAAGGTAACTTAGACTACCTGAGTATAATAATTGAAGTGTGTTAAAAATATATAATTTCTGAGCCATCCATTCGGAGTGTTACTGCTGCAGGCACTATCTTCTTCATGCGTTGGTCAGTGACTGTTGGAAGAAGCCCAGTGAAAAGAATAGAGAAGCTAGCGCTGTCTCCTTATTGATCCTGTTTAACATACACTACATTACCAAAAGTATGTGGACACCTGTTCGTCAAACATCTGATTCCAAAATCATGGGCATTAATATGGAGTTGGTCCCCCCTTTGCTGCTATAACCAGGGGTGCACATAACTGGTACGCAGGTACGCAAGCGCGACAAAAATCAGGAATGCGTAATGCCACTTGTGTTACTACGCGCCTTTGCGTACTTGACCGATCTTCTCATCTAACTTTACACATGACATGTTGCTTGTCAACTACTGTCAGGGATGTCCAAAAAGCAACAGACATTAAGCAGGTTCTTTGGCGTTTCGCCACCTACAAAGAAACGCCAACTGGAGCCAGAGCAGAAGAAAATACTTTTTTCGGAAAAGTGGCTCCAAGATGTGCAGTGGCTTGAAGCTAACGATGAGCGCACTGAAATGTGGTGCAATATTTGCCGCTCAAATCCACATCTAGCAGACAAAACAGGTGCATTTTATAAAGGCTCAAAGAATGTCAACCATCCTTTATTTGACAAACATGAAAAGAGCAAGGAGCACACGAATGTGGCGCAAGCCATTGCTAAAAGCTAGCCGAGAAGAAATGTCCAGTCGCCCACTTGCCAGATGGCGAGACAAGCTGAATGAAGAACAGCGGCAAGCTCTGTTTAATATTTTTCTCCTCGCCTTCCATAAAGCTAAACACGCACGTCCCATGTCTTCCTATTCTGAGTATGTTCCTTTACTGAAGCGGCTAGGAGTAAATGTCGGAGGTGCATATCATTCACGTGAAGGGTGCACACGGATCATGCAGAGCATCGCTCACACCATCAGCGGAGAGTTACGAGCAAAGTTGCAGTCTGCTGAATTTTGGGGGCTGCTTTTTGATGGATCTGAGGACATCACAAAAACTGAGCAGGAAATCGTTTACATTGTGTCTGTGTCCAGCAACGGAGAGTTTACTTCGGACTTTATTGGACTGATTGAATTGGGTGCTGACCGAACCGCGCAGGCCATAACAGACGGACTTGTGAGACTTTTCCAGGACACAGGCTTGGATGACTGGACAACAAAGTTGGTCGCTGTGTGCACATACGGGGCTGCTGTCAACGTAGGTATCTACAACGGCGTTGTGCCAAAACTCCGGCAACTTGCTGCGGTTGGAGACTCCCTTGTGCACATTCTGTGCACCGCACACACACTGGAGAATTGCGCGAAATCAGCTGATCGCAATGTTCCTTACTGTGAGACATTTAATCGCTCTGTGGTAAAGCTGCTGCTGTTTAATTTACAAAAGCAAAAAAAACTGCTGCACTGAATAAGCTATGTGAAGAAAATGGGATCTCCTTTGTGAAACTGGGTAAGTTTCATAATATCTGATGGTCTGCATGGAGGCATGAAACACTGTTAAAAATATCAAGACTATTGCCAGCCATTAAAATGCAACTGGTTACGAGTGATAACAGTGACTTGCAGCATACAGTGAGGGAAAAAAGTATTTGATCCCCTGCTGATTTTGTACGTTTGCCCACTGACAAAGACATGATCAGTCTATAATTTTAATGGTAGGTTTATTTGAACAGTGAGAGACAGAATAACAACAAAAAAATCCAGAAAAACGCATGTCAAAAATGTTATGAATTGATTTGCATTTTAATGAGGGAAATAAGTATTTGACCCCTCTGCAAAACATGACTTAGTACTTGGTGGCAAAACCCTTGTTGGCAATCACAGAGATCAGACGTTTCTTGTAGTTGGCCACCAGGTTTGCACACATCTCAGGAGGGATTTTGTCCCACTCCTCTTTGCAGATCTTCTCCAAGTCATTAAGGTTTCGAGGCTGACGTTTGGCAACTCGAACCTTCAGCTCCCTCCACAGATTTTCTATGGGATTAAGGTCTGGAGACTGGCTAGGCCACTCCAGAACCTTAATGTGCTTCTTCTTGAGCCACTCCTTTGTTGCCTTGGCCGTGTGTTTTGGGTCATTGTCATGCTGGAATACCCATCCACGACCCATTTTCAATGCCCTGGCTGAGGGAAGGAGGTTCTCATCCAAGATTTGACGGTACATGGCCCCGTCCATCGTCCCTTTGATGCGGTGAAGTTGTCCTGTCCCCTTAGCAGAAAAACACCCCCAAAGCATAATGTTTCCACCTCCATGTTTGATGGTGAGGATGGTGTTCTTGGGGTCATAGGCAGCATTCCTCCTCCTCCAAACACGGCGAGTTGAGTTGATGCCAAAGAGCTCGATTTTGGTCTCATCTGACCACAACACTTTCACCCAGTTCTCCTCTGAATCATTCAGATGTTCATTGGCAAACTTCAGACGGGCCTGTATATGTGCTTTCTTGAGCAGGGGGACCTTGCGGGCGCTGCAGGATTTCAGTCCTTCACGGCATAGTGTGTTACCAATTGTTTTCTTGGTGACTATGGTCCCAGCTGCCTTGAGATCATTGGACAAGATCCTCCCATGTAGTTCTGGGCTGATTCCTCAACGTTCTCATGATCATTGCAACTCCACGAGGTGAGATCTTGCATGGAGCCCCAGGCCGAGGGAGATTGACAGTTATTTTGTGTTTCTTCCATTTGCGAATAATCGCACCAACTGTTGTCACCTTCTCACCAAGCTGCTTGGCGATGGTCTTGTAGCCCATTCCAGCCTTGTGTAGGTCTACAATCTTGTCCCTGACATCCTTGGAGAGCTCTTTGGTCTTGGCCATGGTGGAGAGTTTGGAATCTGATTGATTGATTGCTTCTGTGGACAGGTGTCTTTTATACAGGGTAACAAGCTGAGATAGGAGCACTCCCTTTAAGAGTGTGCTCCTAATCTCAGCTCGTTACCTGTATAAAGACACATGGGAGCCAGAAATCTTTCTGATTGACGAGGGGGTCAAATACTTATTTCCCTCATTAAAATGCAAATCAATAAATAACATTTTTGACATGCGTTTTTTTCTGGATCTTTTTGTTGTTATTCTGTCTCTCACTGTTCAAATAAACCTACATTAAAATTATAGACTGATCATTTCTTTGTCAGTGGGCAAAACGTACAAAATCAGCAGGGGATCAAATACTTTTTTCCCTCACTGTATCTGCACAGAGCGTTTTAAGTGCTTTGTCAAACCATGCTTGACATTTGCAACATTTGAATGACCAACATCCATTAGGTTTCAGAAGGAAAGGCTGACCATTGCGAGAATGTAAGGATGAATAAACTCAATGGGGCCATTGGAAAGTTCACACTTCTGCTTGATGGTGAAAGCCACAGGGCACACACTGTTTCCAATGCTGATGCTGACAGAGACAAGACACACATACTCAGGGGGTTAATTGAAGAGTTTGAAATCAGATATGACTCCCTCAAGTCATGTGATCATTTCTCTGTATTTGATCCTTCAACATGGCCTCAGGAAATGCAAGACCTCCACAGTTTTGGAAACACAACAGTTTGCATCATTCTCAAGAAATATGAGGCCACCTTGCATCTTGACAAAGATACCACTGTGACAGAATGGATGCGCTTAAAGCAGGCAGGAAAACGCCTGGGAGCCTCTTCTGTGTATGACTTGGTCCAAATAGTAAATACAAGTAACCCAGATGCTTACTCCAACATCAACAAGGTGGTTAAGCTGTCTCTTACACTGCCTTTAAGCAGTGCAGCTTGTGAGAGGGGATTCTCACATCTCAACATAATAAAAACCAAGTACAGATCTCGTCTGTCACATGCTCGTCTCTCAGCCCTGATGCACATTCACCTGTCAAAGCAGACCACAGAGACATTTGACCCAAAGCCTGCTGTTGACCTGTGGATGGAGACAGCTAATTGGAGGCTC